TGATTGTGAATGAGCCACAGATTAGAGAGAATTTTTAAATTCTAGTTAATCAAAAAAAGCTAAGATATTTAGGTTCTATAGCCGTATATTCAGTAGCTTCATTATTGTTGTTGTTTTTAAGATAACCATATTTTAGATTTTTAGTGTATCACACCTTATAATTTTATTTATTTATTAATTTATAGTCAGGGAACGTAGGCCCATAGATAGATACCTTAAAGTCTAACGTATATACAGATTATAATATGTTTATGGAGGTGTTTGGCGAAAAATGTATGGCAATAGACTTTATGATGTCGCCTACCATCTATAATAATTGTCTGAGCACATTTGCATCTAGTGAAAATGATAATATAGTGGTGGATATTAATACCACAGTTTAATAAAAAAAATGATTTATTTTATTGATCTTTACAAAATAGATTTGTTTTTATCTTATATAAACAACTGTGATCAGTCTTTGGCTGAATGTTACTACACCCATAGCCATTAAAAATGATTCGTATGTTTTCCAAACCGGTAATATTAAAAGTCCTTTTTAAAGTAAATATTTAATAAAAAGTCCGTTGAAATCTAATGACTGTAAATTAAATTATAAATTACGCAAGAATTACCGTGTATGTCAATATTTTTTGTGCATTTAGGCCAATTTGAGCAATCTCCTTTGCTCTAATATGAAATTACTAGCTGCGTCCCGCGGTTTTACCCGCAAAGTTCCCGTTCCTTTGGGAATTCCTGGATAAAAAGATATTCACCCTATATGCCTATAACTCGTTGCTAAATAGAATAATCAGGATGGCCATGCCCATGGCCAAATAGATTTAATATACTCGACCTATTTACTTAGAAACTTTTGCTAAGCTGAAAAATCAGGGTGGTCATGCCCCTGGCCACTTGGTCAGATATTCGACCTGTTTTCAGCAGATTAGCTCTGATTTGTTATTATTTAATACTCTTTAAGCTTAAACTTCATAATTTGACATGTGAATGACAACTGGGCATAATGTTGGAGCAGTCTTCTGTTTGCCGAATATATATCCATGTCTTCTTCTATATCTATTCTATATTATCTATACTGTATACTATTAAGATTATAATATAAAGGAGAAAAGAATACACTGACTGACTCATCTTGACCCATTTTAAAATTTTTATTGTATATTCATATACACCCATGTGAAGCAAAGACAAGCCGCTAGTTATATACCTACTTTAGTAGCTAGTTATTATATATATATTGTTGTTACTAACATTCTATGGACTGTATAACATTGTCTGAAAATAAATGATATTATTATTATATAATAAGCTGCTAGTTACCATAGACTGATGATTATGTTACTCGAATATGTAAGAAAAGAGAAAAATAAAGAAGACCAAAACCAATCCCTGTTCGGTATTCCGGTTACCAGATTTTACGGCAAAATAGCTCTACCGTGCTGTTACTCGTACCACCTACGGCATGCCGGCACTTAACACTGCGGTAAATTATTAAGTTTAATAATAATAACAATCATTCGGATTCGACGATCATTGTCCCTATAGTCGTTAGTGTGAACGGTCTCATAGCGAAGAGTCTCGACCAATATCTAAAGAGCCTCTCGCTAGATGGTTGGGTCAAGGGGCAGATGCAAAAGGCAGTACTGCTGGACACAATGAACATCCCGCTGCTGGTGGCCTTCTAGGTTAGGTTATTTATTTTTGTATTTACATTTTTGTACAACTTTTATAACTATTTTATAAAAAACCTGTTTTAAATTAAATTAAATAAATGAGATAATAATCATATTCTTTATTTTTATACAGTATACAAGACACAAAAGTAAATTAAAAACATGAAAGACAGAACGTACACAATTTAGGCAGCCTTATTGCTAGGCAGCAATCTCTTCCAGGCAACCCATTAAAGAAAGATAAATAATTATGAAGGAGAGAAGGAGGGGTGTAATAGAAAATAATAATAATATCAAAGGACGGAAAACAGATATATCTAAGGAAGGAAACAGAGAGAATGAAGAAAAAATTTAACATTATTGTTGGGATAGGAAATAACTCCGAACTTGAATCCTAAACGAGTTCAGTGTTAGTTTACTGTTACCTATTTCTTCTGAAATATCGGAGAACTTTACGCTTAAGTGCCTTACCACTACTGGGGCATTCTATCAACGGAAAAAGGTAAATAAGCCTTTACTATAAGTCTTATATTGCCGTATAACTTGTCTGATTATATCCTTTGTTTCCCGTGTATCTAAAATACCAATCTCACTGCCAGTGATAACACCGTTAAATTTTAATGCCATTCTTACTACTCCAGTTTATTCGTTACTACCATAAAAACGTAAAGAGAAAAAGCAAACTTTATTTCTAGCAACATTTGTAATTTTTATATACCTAAATAACATGAATGTTATAAAAACTATGTTTCATTTTAGTTTTCCATAAAGAAACATTATTCCGGAAAAAAGTACCAGGAGATCAACTTCGTTCTTCTATCTTTCTAGGAGAATGAGTGTTTTAATCGAGTATTTAATCTGTTCGGAATGTGGCTAGAGGTGCTGTCCGACGGCCTATGTAGTCGCGGGCGCGGCCGTGCCGCGCAGTTGCTAAACGTATGAAACTCTAACATTTGAGATTTAGCAGTCTCTATACATGATACGAGGTAAATAGAAATCTCTGCCGAAGCCGTAGGTACTTACCGAGTCCGTCCTTTGTGGGCTGGACATTTATTTACTTTGATAATATTTTTGGCGCCCGCACCAACAGGTCGTCGGACAGCACCTTAAAACTACTATTTCCCTCATTTTTGGGAAAATAGCCACTTTTTGAAATGCCGTATTCCAAAATCTATCAGACCAACAGAATTCAAATGGCATAGTGAATTTAAAGATAGAACGGACCTTTCAAAAGTTATAAGCGCGCAGACGAAAAGAGACCGAAAATTTTGAGGCTTTAGCACAGGTCTTTCTCGAAGCTGCAAATTTGTTTTAACCTTATTGGTAACTATTCTAAAAACATACCAAATAAAACAATAAAGTAGCGTTTATTGCAAACAAACTCGATTTTTTTGTGTACTGTGACTAGACTAAAGAGTTAATTTTTATTTTTAAAGATATAGTAGTACGCTTAGCAACTTGTAGCATATTCCAAAATTGGTATATGCTTTAAGGTGAGTAAGGTCAATATTCAGTAATGTACTGCCAAAACACTTTCTAGTAAAAGATATTTTCCAATATTTCTATATATATATAATATTTTCTAAAAAAAATATAATAAAATAAATAAATTATATAAATTTACATTAAATGCGAAAATATTTTTTTGAAGTTTTATATTGATCTTGGGATTGTGACCATAATGAAATTCAAATAACCACATTCCGACAGAAATTAATACACCTAACTGTTCTATTTTATTTGCCATGCCCTTTACATCCATCCTTCTACAGGAGCATACATACATCTCCTACCAAAAATAAAAGACTTGTTTTTTTGTTTATTTATATTAGGTACCATTTATTAAGCTATACATTAAAATATTACATAGAGTCAATTGATTTCATAAAATATACAATTGTACAACAGCCATTGTGATTTATAAACAAATCCAAATCTCAACTTAAATCTTCTCTTTTTTTTACCCGACTGCGCAATGCTTTCAACACTATATTACATTAGTGTGAAAAAAGTTAAGGTATTACGAATCGTTCCGATTATTCCATCATTTATAATAAAATTATTACACTAAATACTCTTTACTTATAACAAAAATATACATGTTTTTATTATAATATTATCTACTGAGTGCCATAATAAGTCCTCTTCGAAAATCTTAGTAAAATAGTTTTTTTTTATAGAGGCAATGCCAATTAATTTTAATGTCGAAGCCAAACAACATATTAATAAATAAAGACATTTATTTTGTTATGTTGTAATGTTTACCGAAAAATACAACGATGTTAATAAACACAAACATTACAAAGAATTTTATAATACAGAGAACCTATCTTAAATTCTAATTTCATCACTATGAAAAAAATATTGTGAATCTTACAATTGGATCTCCACATTGTCACGAATTGACTTGAGAGAACTTACATTAAAAAAAAAACATATTACAAAATAATAATACAGCCAACACAACCTTCTTTGTTCAAATTCCAATTTCTTTATCAGTTGTTTGTTATAAAGAGAGTAAATATAATGTTTTTATTTCATAAAATTGAATTATTTCATGGTCAGGTCTCATAAATGATGAGTATAACCAAAAGGACTGCTCGTTCCCCATAAATTGAATGCTCCAGAACGCACAGCAATGAGAAAATACTAGCTGTGTTCGGAATCATTCATAAACTCTTATTAGGCATTTGTTGAAATACGGACAACTTATATCTTCTGAATACCTAGATTTATTGTTTACCTCTATGTAAGCACATAAATAATATGAATTAAATAAACATAAAATGAAATTAATAATAAAAATAATAAATGCTTATATTCATATTTATTTATGAGTGTTGGCAGTTGGCACCTATGATACCTATACCTACCTTTGTAATAATAGATTTCTTTTCAAATGAAATATTTAAAAGCTTTCCATTTACCTGTTTCTATATATTATCATTAGTAAATAGGTATGTAGGTATCTGATTATCATTATGATTTTTATAAAAATAAACAGATATTATATGGGATGGGAGTATAAACTATCTTTACATAATTTCAGAAATTATCTTTCTATAAATATAATGTAAATACTAGTGATAAGTATTATTAACGAAGGAAGGTAGGTACGTTGTACTACAATTCTTATATTAAAAAATACCTACGGTCGCGTATATTGCATTTATGAAGGCTATCTTTTCAAAATAGAATAAAATTGAATTTAAAAAAAAAACTTTTATTTGAAATCATTTTTTGAACCTTATTGGCGAAAGCTTTTGAATTTAGATGAGACAGTCTCATATGGCTGAATGACAGCAAATTGTCTAGTACCTAGTTACAGAATTTTTAATTTTTACAACACAATGTCCGTTTACTATGATTAATTACTAATAAAGTAAAAAAATAATAGTGAAGGACATTCGATTGTGCATGCTGGTGCCGATTTCGTCGATGTCCTTTATAAGTACATTATGTTTAGTGATGCATAATGTATGTGGACTGAATGACAGCAAATTGTCTAGTACCTAGTTACAGAATTTTTAATTTTTATAACACAATGTCCGTTTACTATGATTAATTACTAATAAAGTAAAAAAATAATAGTGAAGGACATTCGATTGTGCATGCTGGGGCCGATTTCGTCGATGTCCTTTATAAGTACATTATGTTTAGTGATGCATAATGTATGTGGACGCCAAAAAAAGTGTTGCATATGACCTAAATTGACTTCATTTCTCATTTGATTTTACAATATACCACCACATAGTGTAAGCGTAACTTTACATTATCATAAGGCTGTGTCTACAAGACAATTTTAAATATATAACACAAAATTATAGCTAGGGAGCTCGTGGCAATTTAGGTATATGATTCCATCGTGGTTGGTCAGCATCATCAGCCTGTTAATGTCCTCACTGCTGGGGCACAGGCCTTCCCTATGGATGGAATAGGGAGATTGGGCCATGACCCATCACGCGGGCTCAGTGCGGATTGGTGGGTGGGACCAACGGCTTAACGTGCTTTCCGAAGCACGGACGAGCTCGAGTTAGTAAACTTTTGGTCACCTATCCAATGACCGACCACCGCGAAAGTTGCTTAATGCGTCGTTGATACCAAGACGTAATGAAGCTAGAAAAAATAGTGGCGAGCTAAGGTAGCTCTGGTAAGCAATTTCGAAATTGTAAAGAATAAAAATTACAAAACTTATATTATCGTTTCTGTCATCAATTATATCTTTAAACATAGATAAATGATTGGTCTCGCTAGTGAAGCGAAACCAATCATTCATCTATGTCTTTAAATACATTTTATAGATAGTGAAATTTAAGCTGGCAGAAGTCAGGACAGTAAGTGATTTTATAAAAATAATTATTAAATTATAAAATTTATTTAGTATTTTCTCTCATAATTAAAACTCTTCAAACATATATTTATTTGAATTGTTGCATGACGTGACGTCTCACGTCTTGGTACATTTTTTGATTAGAAGTGACGTCACGAGCCTCCACTCCCACACTTAACGTGCTGTGTGCGTTGATTGACAAAAGAAATAATAGGTGCCAATTATTTTTAATAATCTCTCTGACTGAATTTCGTTTACTTAACCCCATCATTATTATCACGCGTTATCTAAAATCATCGTCACAGACAGAGAGAATGACTCAGCAACTCTCGCATGACATTGACTCTACATGGAAATAGATAGAATTTTCTTTAGATAGAGATATAAACAGCCAATTAATTGGAATGCTCTGCCCGCTCACGTGTTCCCTCCTTCTTTCAACCTGAGATCCTTTAAAAACGGCGTGAAGAAGCAACATGCAGACCAGCAGGGTGAGGATGGCTGGTGCGGCAGGTAGAGCTGCTGTATCAGCTATCTTCGCGTTTGGACTTCACCGTCACTTAACATCAGGTGGGGTGAAGTCATTTGTCGAACCAATCTACAAAAAAAATGTGCCATAGAAAGCATTTTTTTCTGTCAGTGGCAGGATTGCATTGCTGTCGTATTTCCGACCAACGGTAACCACCTTCCTAGAGATCACACTTTTTTCAGCACATAGAATATTTTTACAATTGCCAATTGTTATTTCTACAAAATTAAATTTAAGATAGTTAACTATAAGAAAATATCACAAAAACATCAGTTCATACATAGGAGAAAAAACACATATCAGTGATAGTTATTTCGTATAGTGTGTTGGTTTTCTGAAGCATTGCGATTATTTAAATGAAATGGGAGAAAAAAATATAACCTTCGCATACAGAGTTATCAGTTGAAGGCTTAATAATAAAAATATAATAAATATTCTGTGTTATAAACCCACTACATTTTGCTCTATATTTTTTAATTAATTTACCTTTCGTTTTATTTCTAAATTTACTCATCAATACTCAGTTTAACATTGCTACCTCTACTACTATACAGAGTTACAGAAAAAGTCCATCTAGTTATGGTACTTTATTATTTAGATCATTGCTGAAAGATTTGACCCTATGACGTACTGTTGAGAAGTTAACCGTTTTAAAATTGACATTCAGTTTATTTTTAAACGTTTACTATTTATGGCCTGACACCACATTATCCTTCACTAGCAGCCGCCCGCGATTTCGTCCGCGTTACCTTTGGTTTTTTTGAGAATCCCTCAGGAACCTAACATCCTTCCGGGATCAAAAATCCTATCCAATGTCCCATTCCAGGTCATAAACATAAAATTTGCATCTGTATTCAAACAGTTAAATACTAGTAGCTGCCACTTTAAGATAGAAGTTTTTAAGTTTTATTATTTATTTTTATGGACTAGCATATCTTCTACAAAACAGTCTTAAAGGCGATAAAATAAAATTAGAGCAAAGAATTGTACTTTTAAGAAAAAAAACAAAGCCAAATTTAAGGAAAACGGTTAACTTTTCGGCATTAGACCATAGGGTCAAAACTATCAACAATTACCTAAATAAATATCTTTAAATATCTAGGCCGACTTTTTCTGTAACCCTGTTAACACTATATACTGACCTAACAAAGTATATACTTTTAAAATAAAATTGTGAAAACATACACCACAATTATTGTTATATAACAATTTTAACTCTAATTAAAGACACAAAATAACAAGCTATGCTATTTAATAAAAATATTTGACTACCTAACCATAAAAGAGAGTAGTGAATTTTAAACTAAATTCCCAATGTATGTTCAAGAAAACATTTAATCAGTGTAAAAAAAATACTTATTAAATGAGATGCTAAAGCAGTTTAATGGATAATATAATTATACAATTGAATGCACATGAAATAAGCACGGTTTAAATTAATATTAAATTTGCTAATAGTAAGATAACTGTAACCCCAAGCACGAACTTTCAGAAAACTAAACAACACCCCCTACTGAACGTAAGAACAAACTGCCTGCTTCCATAGAAAATTTCATGATGGCGATACGATTAAGGATGTGTCAAAGTTAATGCTTGGGATCATGGAGGTTAGAGATAAGGAGAACGATCGCTACGTACTAAAGCATTAGCCCGCCTGCCCTGAAAATTTGTAGAATTTATAGTTCATTTTTCAGCCACCAGCCGCGCTGCCGTCGGTAAGTAGTATCTGTGAAGCTAACTTCACAGATACTACTTAACCGGCTAACCGTTTATGAGTACACACACTTATGAGTCACACAAGTAGATGAAGTTAGTTGAATATTTTCTTCGCGCCATTGGTCATTTTAAATTAGCCCGCTTTTATTGACCACCTTAGCTATCGCAGCGCCTCACTTATTTTGTCCATATTTCTGGGACACTATTTTATACAGCGATCGTTCTCCTAATCTCTTACCTCCATGCATGGGGTACTGAACTAGAATCCATCGCAAAATAAGAATATATATATATATATATATATATATATATACTAAATATTCGTGACAACAATTCTGCATGTATTGCCTACCCTCTTCAGTAAGTCAGCATTTTTCTCTTCAATCTGATGAAGTCCTTTTTTTTATTTCAACAAGCTTTTGACCTTACTAACTTTGATTTTGAGGAGAATTAGAAAAACCGTTTCTATTTTAGATTCTAAGCAAAGCAACCTCTTAGATTCATGAGAGCAGCTAAGCTACACAAATTCCTGCCGAACATTCACCGTCACAAATTCGATTTTACCGCTCGGCTGTGGCGATCAATGCCGGCCCGATTATGTGTGTAACTAACTACCTTCAGTCAACTACTATAATGTATATTTATATAACCCTATTTTATACTCGTATTATTGTACCCTATAATTTATCATCGTTTCAAATTATAATTCAATATATTTGTACTGATTTATTTTATTTTGCGTTCTAACAGCGGACTACTTGGACAATAAGGTGATATTATATTTATAGTCAACCACACCTGCATATTTGCTAATTATTAAATATGTAATATTTTTGTAGTGACAACATGATAAAACAGACCGGTGCAATAAAATTTACTAACAAACAAATAGAGCTTTGTATTATATAGTTGAACTAGCTGACCCAGCGAACTTCGTACCACCCTAAAAAAAATAGGGATTGGTGGTAGAGGGTGAAAATTTATGGTTGTATGTATTTTTGTATGATGTATCATAAATAAGATTAAAAAAAAACTAAAATTGAAAAAAATAAAAATAAGGGGTGGATTACCCTTAACATTTAGGGGGATGAAAAATAGATGTTGTCCGATTCTCAGACCTACACAATATGCACACAAAATTTTATGAGAATCGGGAAAGCCCTTTCGGAGGAGTTTAACCACAAACACCGCGACAAGAGAATTTTATATATTAGATGTGCTTCGAAAATCATTATAATCCATGCTGTTAAAATACACAGCCTAAAAAGTGTTTCACACATAATCTTGGTTTCTTCTGCCATTATGTACCTCAAGCACGAACTATGAAAGATCCGTATTCGTATAACGTCAAGTTTCCATGGAAACGAAGTAGCGCCCCTACCGGACGAAAAAACAAACAAGCTTTTTCCATTGAAACTTTAGCAAGGCGATACGAATACTTTATCGTTAGTTGTTCGTGCTTGGGGTACTGCACTAAATCACGGTTTTATTAAAATAGTGTTGCCGTATATTTTTTATTACAAGGCCTCCATTAAAGGTTCGATGCCCTAGTAATATGGGAACTCATACTATAAACAGACTACGAAAGACACTGCAACAAATCGTTTAAACATTCACTACTCTCGCACAACTCCTTAAGTCGCTCCAACTGAGATCCGCTGAAATTAGAATGTGTTGCCACCACACACATCAGTCTCCGGTCCGTAAACGACATGGTCACCCCGTTCCTACTCAAAAACTCCGCGAAAATACCCCAAACGTCGCCCCAGTCCACACATTTGTGGAAACCTAGTCTCAACACGTGGTAACATAGCGGGTACATTTTCCTTATACACCGGTTCGAACTAGCTGATACTAGCAGTGTGAGAACGCAATACGGCAATAGGTTTGGTGATATTTTCCCTGACAACAAATGGCAGAGAGCTTCGAATATCCATCCACTCAGAACCGGCAATTGGTCTTGTGCCACCGCTGTTTCGAAGACCTGGAAAATAAATAGCATAATCATTACTCCTGCATATTTTATTGATTGTTCTTTAACAGAGCTTTAAAGAAATTACATAATCCTATCATAATCTTTTTACATTTAACATTACATGGGTGAATAAAATACAAAGAGAAAAGCAAGTAAATACTTTATGATTTCTTCGGATTATGGGTGCATAGACAGAATGCCGGTAGTTAAAATTGAAAGATGTCTGGCAGCGAAAGGTCGTGAGTCTTGTGATTTATAGAGCAGATGTATTTTTCTTCAAGTCGTGTATTTCAATACTCATTCGCTATCTTAATATTTGGCAGTATTACATCAATAAATATTTCTCAAGAAATAACGGCACAGTCACACTCAGAAACGACAGTTACATTGAATGCTTTTGATGTGCTGATTTAACAAATTCAGTTTGGATTGGACTTAAAAAATATTTTACATACAGCCGATAATGCAATATAAGCGTAATTTAAGATACCTCAAAAACAATTTGCGCGTTGAGCACCGAGCAATCGATCCATCTGTCCCTGTCGTTCACTATGCCCATCTTTATCTTCTCTGTCTCTTTGCAGCACTCTAGAAACTCTATGACAACTCTGCTCAGAGTCGCGGCCGGCGGTAAAGTTTCTCTCAGGAAGTATTTCATAGTGTCCGCTATTATAGCTTTGTTCTCCGTAGATTTACACTGGCGCAGACATTTGTATAGTAATGTTAGGCGCTCCATTGAATTCATTAAGATGTCTGGATCCATGTTTGAGACGTCGGAGGCTAGTTTCGGACTTAATAGTTTGTTGTCCGCTGCAAAAATAAATTATAAATTGGCATGCCATTCCATTAGCAGAGTATTAAATTTAAGTTAGGGTGCAGATGAAAAGGGTTTTATATATATATACTAGCGGACCCGACAGACGTTGTCCTGTCTAGTATGGTAGCGCCGTCTGTCGGATCCAATGTAAAACATTCCAAAATCAACAACTACTAATAAATTAAAAAAACATTGTCCAGCGGACAAAATTGTGAATCTAAACCATTCTCAGATCCCCTTGAACACAAACAAAAAATTTCATAAAAATCGGTCCAGTCGTTTAAGAGAAGTTCAGTGACATACACACTCAAAGAAGAATTATATATATAAATATAGGTATAACTATGGCAGCAGAATGTCGCCACATTTGACCAACGTTGACCTAGTCAGGTCATCAATTCTGTCACATGTGGGGGACACAATTTACCACTTTGGAATTATCTCTCACGCAAACTATTCAGTTTAGAAAAAATGCTATTAGAATCATAGCCATAAAAAAAATAAGTTATATAGTAAACTAGAGAAATCAAAGTACCGAAATTACGTATTAGATTCAGGTATATAGAGCAGACAGGTAGATTAACAGAAAGTTGCCTGTTTATAAAGTTAATGTACAAGAGTAACTTTTAAAATCAGGTATCATCTATGCATTTCCGGTTATAATATGGTACTCTGTGACAGAAACTGTGTGATGATTGTGAATGAGCCACTGATTAGAAAGAGTTTTTAAGCCATTTGGCTACGGAACCCTAAAAATCGGAGCCACGTGATGAATCACAGAAAATTTATTATTGCTACTTACCAGAGAAGAGATGCACCAGCAATATCTGAATGGCGTGGTCTTCCCGGTAGCTCTTCATGTTATCCAGGAGTTTCTCTATCACGGTATTCTTCAGATCTTTCGGTAGGAGTTGCTGTCTGATCGTAATAGTGATTCCCTGTACAGTAGCAACAAACATACTGGTTTTAATTAAGTAAGAAAAGTGTGTAGATACTATGTGAGGAGCTGGCGAACAGAGCTGGAGGTTTTGGGCCCGCTGAATTTGAATTTCAACTCATTTTTAATCAAAACAGACTAAAACAGTGTTTAAATTACTAAATTTATAAATAAAAATCCACGCCAGAAGCTCACTGTAGGTATGTCATACAGTTTTTAACAGATCCTGTAAATTTTACTGTAATTATACCGTTTTGTTCGCCAACTCCTCATATACTTACTGCAATAAATAAAAACAATAATCAAAAGATTTTTGATTAAGAAATAGGAAGTTTAATAAAAACTTATTTTATGAAGATTTTTTGTTACAAAGGCCAGTTGAAAACTGACCTATTCCTATTGCTTCTGTAGCTGTTTTGTCAATAGTGTATATTAAAACCAGAACTAGGTCTTTTAATATGTAGGTAAAAAAAAGTGTAGGTTAAGATTTCAAAAGGATATTATGAACAGTTTAAATAGCACGCAATCTCGCTGTTTTATACATTCATTCCTTTAGAGAAAGAAAAGATGGTGAACAAACAGACATATCAAAAAGTATAGATAACTTACCCTAACAACCAAATCAGTACAGTAGTGCCTCTGGTTATTTAGCACAAAATCGACAGCTATATTAATCAGATCCGGATGGCCAAGTTCTATTAGAGTAAATAAGACTGTCCAGTATAGGCTTTGCTCGTATAAAGAAATTCTGAAAAGACAAACAACATATGACAACAATTTTCATCTAATTATTTTAGGGAACGTAGCGGTGTGATGAAACTTTTTAATAAAAATGCAGTTCTGATGAAAATGTTATTCAATAACTAGGTCTACTCTTTTTCTCTGAAACGAACTTTCGATAACGAAGTTTAATTTAGTCAATTTAAGGTTATACTTAATTTGTACGATAATTTATCAAATTGAATCTTTCTTTGAGTAGGCTAAAAAAATCTACACCTCAATCTTTATTCCGACGACGAATATTATTATAATTAAAAACGAACCAGAAACATAGTAAGAAGAGTGCGAAGTTTCGATCGAAATTTCGTTTTTCGTTGAATTAGAGTAGGCCTCCAGGTATCAGGCTGTATTCGAACCAGTGCTTTCCAATATCGGGCAGACGCACTAACCAAATATGCTACCGAGACCTAAATAGACGTGTCGAATTTTTCTAGTGTTTCTTAGGTTGCAAGGCATCGCCACCCATGCACTCTGTAGATAGTCTAAATCAAGGGCTCAAGTAGGCTATTTAACAGTATGAAAAATAAGGTACCGTTGGCATGCGTACTTAATAAGAATATTGGTAGCGATTTCACTATACTGACAATAAAATGTAGTTGATAATATTGGAACCGTATATTTTGATCTATTGTGTACGTGACCGAAAACGCCTAGGATTGGCGGAGCCTAAAATGACGTCACCTTAATGAGAGCCGCGTGACGTCACCTGCCTATTATTCGCCATATTTGCTAGAGAAACGTTTTCGCGGCATATTTGAAAACATATTTTTTATTTCCATTTTTTTTTACTGTTTAAGAGCCCTTTTACAAAATTGCGCCGCTGCCGTACTGATCGGCGCGTAGGTAGATTTGCACTAGTATATATTGCATTTTACGGGTGATGTTTCGAGTCTTATAAAATAACTAGCTTTTGCCCGCGACTTCGTCCACGTTATCGTCGTTTTTCGTAAAAAAGTAGCATATGTCCTTCCTCAGGGTTCCGTGGTTTTGATGTGACAGACAGATTAACTTTCGTATTTTAGTAGGGAAATATAATACTGTTAAAAATATCGCAATAAGGAACCGCAGAATATTATTATTATCACTGTGCCCCGAGACCATCAGCGTGTAACTCCTTGTATGTTATTATGTTAATGTATTGGTAATATTGTTTAGATCACTTTCACATGAGTCTTAAGTACATATAGAATGAAAATACTTCAGCGCAAAGCTTCCGGGTAGACTACGTTGAAATTTGACCCGTCCGGAACGTGAACATAAAAAATTCTAGGACTGCTAACCCGGGAAAGACCGACATAACTGACCATGTGAAAAACAACTGACACCGAGATCTACTCCAACAACACGAAAGGTCTGCCCTTGAGCCTTATTTATTGTCATTGCATAACACACCGATACTGGGAATTGCGTTCTTTTAAATTGGAATGGAAAATTATTTGGTATTATGGGAATTCTGGGAATAAAGATGGTTTCTCCTGCACGGCAACCTATTAAAATTTGAGATTTTCGATTACATTTTATTGCAACTGGGTTACTTTAAGCCGAGTTCCATTGCAAATTTGTGGTGGTCTTAAATTTCGGAGCAGAATAATCGGAATGCCAATTTTTAAACAAATTTCATGAGAAGGAAGTACGGGCATATTTAAAGAATTTAAAAATTCTATCGGGTTATTAGTGGCTTCTTGTTCATCGGCCATTCTATTTATTGAACTATAAACTTTGCTTTCCCCCTGGATATTCGACAGTATTTTATTATTAATCTCAGATGCCTGGTCATTGCGAGGAGTTAAAATGGACCTTTCGCATAGCCAAGAATTGTTCTTATTTAATATATTTGTTACGTCACCGTAAACTGACGATGTAAGATGTTGTTGGGATTGCACTATACAACATAACTCAGGCGTCAGAATAAGTTTTCCTTGGTGTAGCAGTGGATAGGTATCTTTGGTGAAGGTATTTTCTTTAATAATATATCAGAAAATTCACGATCATCCGCGTTATCTACAGTTCTCACTCGCATGTTTATAGTCGAATGCACCGATTGTATATCACGCCACAAATAAGAGCTTTTCAGGCAAGTCCTAACCTCAGCAGCTCGGGTTCCCCGTGGTATTACCGTTAAGGTTTGTCGGAAATCACCACAAAATAAAACTGTGATACCGCCCATGGGTCGATCATTTTGTCTTATATCTCTTAAAGTTCTGTCTACCGCTTCTGATCTACTCCTTTTCGATGGGCCATCGTACATTCATCCTATATGATTAAATTACACTTTGAACGAATATTAAAACACTACCAAAACAACTAATACGTGGTCCTAACTTTAGCTACCTTACACATTAAATCTAAGTGACTATTTGAACTAAAATATTCTTATAGAATTATAACCAGAAATATATACAACTCACAACAAAAAAGAAATGAAAATAAAGCTGAAACGCCTGTGCAATACTATCTACCTATACCTCCTTCACTTAAAAATAAATACTTATAACTACTTTAATTAATAAAAGTACCTACGCTTAATAATTTTTAATTTGAACGAATATTTAAACACTACCAAAACAACTAATACCTGTTTTACAAAATAACAACAAAAGAAATTCAAATAAACTATTTAAAGACTAAAAGTCGCGCTGATAAGCACGGTTTCGGTCTCCCAGGCGGGGGAGCCGATGAGAAATCCTCATGGATACCCTACAGCCGGCTGCAAGGTTATGTCAGACTCGTACTGACTAAAAAACACCCGTAGGGGCTGCCTCTGGCCGGGAAGGCCTCTAAGGCTTCATCGGAAGCGATCGTCCCCCAGGGGGGGAGCGACGCAGAAAACAGATTTAGACAGCTCGCTCTCGGACCTTTGATACCCTACCGCTGCCGCGACCCGTGTCGAGCGCGGCAACCGTTACACAAAAATAATCCTTATAGCATGATTCAGTATTCACGTGCGACGGCGCGATGGCTTATTTCATGTTTAAGTTCGGTGTTTCTATACCGATTTCTATGATTCTTTTTTTATTGATTAGGTAATAATGTTAACTTTTTTAAATTATGGATGAGTGAGAGTATTATAAACGTAAGAGTAAACAAATATAATCAGAATGCTCCGAACTGCTAAGCTATCAGGAGTTATAAAAGATAGACATACGCTGTTGCGGGATATTTTCTAGAAAATTTTATGTAGAATATTTCCGTCTTACATGATTTCTATGTAACTTTAACCATTAAGGCTGCACACGCGACGGAAGCTTAAAAAATGGAGTAACTTCTCCCGTTTTCCCAACATTTCCCTTCACTACTCTGCTCCTATTAATTGTAGCGTAATGAAAAGTATACTATAACCTGCCCAGGAGTATGAAGAATAATTGTACCAAGTTTCGTTAAAATCCGTCGAGTAGTTTTTGTTTCTATAGGGAACAAACACACAGACAGACAGACAGACAGACGAAAATTTTACTGATTGCATTTTTGGCATCAGTATCGATCACTAATCACCCCCTGATAGTTATTTTGAAAATATATTTCATGTACAGAATTGACCTCTCTACAGATTTATTATAAGTATAGATTATTAATTAACTAATTATAAAAATATATACATATTTCAGTAGTTCAATGATGGTAGATTAGTTTTATGAAAGTTTTTTATAGTGATTCTATTTAATTCTATATTAGATCTAAATAACTTTGAAAGATACTGCGTTAATAATAATTTATTTTTAAATCCAGATAAATGCCATATTATCTCTTTTACAAGGAAAAAAAACCCGATAAATTTCTGTTATACATTGTGTGGAAAAACTTTAAATCGCGTAACAGAAATAAGAGATCTAGGTGTTATAATGGATTCTAGACTTACATTTGTCCCGCACATTAAAAAAGTAGTAAACCAGTCTTTTAAATTCTTGGGATTCATATTGCGCATAGGAAAACCTTTTAAGAGTTCTCTTACATGTAAGATGCTTTTTAACAGTTACGTGCGTAGTCGATTGGAATTCGCAAGCCCTGTGTGGAATCCTTATTATCGTGTACATCAGGACAAAATTGAGAAGGTACAACGCAAAATTTATAAAATCATTGGATTATAGAACAGGTAACCCGCACATCGATTATCAATCCTCCCTTGCCTTTCACAATATAACATCTTTAAAACGCCGACGGGATCTAACAGATATAAATTGTTTATATAAAATCCTAAATAATAAGATAGATGCTCCATCTTTATTAGAAAAAATATATTTCCGTGTACCTAGAAGACAAGAGAGAACAAATCGTAGAAAAGCATTATTCTTTATTAAGCCAAGTAAAACTCATTACGGTAGCAATAGTTTTATAAAAAGAGCTTGCGCACTTTTCAATGAGCTTTTTACAAATATTGATATCTTTGAGACATCCAAACATAAGTTTAGGAGGAGTATTGCTGAACTCATATAAGGCTGAAGCTTGTAAGATAAGTAAGTGTTACTTTATGGACATTTGCTTAAAAAATGCGTTGCTGCATATTATATATACATATATGTATGTACTTTCATTTCCTTACTTAACTTTAGTATGGAGATTTTTAATTATATATGTACAGAAATAAATAATATTTAAATACAAATTTCCTAAACCTATTTATAAATAACATCCTATTTACAAAATAAAAAATAAGTTACCCCCATCGCCGCCGTCAGGGATGGTGCCCAATAGGCTGGCAGCATTGCCACGTTGAATGGCAAGGCTGATCCGTTGACCAAGATAGCTGCCAGCCTTTTGATCACCAGTAACTTCGGTGAGTCTCTTTGATATTTCCCTAAAAAAGGAACGAGCACTTGGACCCCATGGGCCCATGGTCTCAACACCAAACGGCACAAATATATAGTTCTCATTGTGAGCTGAATATTTGCGCCGTTTAGAGCATTCAGCAGAGTCCGCCCCGCACCGCACCCGCAGCAAGGGAGGTGCTCTCTGTGTGGCACGGAGCAAGCGTATCCGCGCAAGTTGCGTCCCACACAAGAGGGCGACCCTGCTTCCACGGAATGAGCGTCATTCCGTAAGGTCTCTTGCCATCGTCACGAAAGATGCCGCTAGGCTCAAGGACCGCTGGCACGTTGACTGCGACAAGAGCTCTGCGGATGACGTCATTGATGCAGGCGTGGCGGGAGACTCGGCCAGCGCTCATTTGGCATGAAAGACCATGGTGACCCAACTCACCTTTCATTTCTTATGTGTGAGTTGCTTTTAGTTTAAATGTGTATTTTGCTATTTATATTGCTGACCAATGTTACTGGATCAATTATTATTTGAATTAGTTAAGGAAACTATAGGTCTACTAACCAATGATATTTATGTATCAATTGTAAATATGTGTGACTGTTTATTTCTTATAAATAAAAAAAAAAAACAATATCAAAATACGAGGTAAACCTGCACTATTTTTTGGGAAAACTCACGGAGGTTAGATGTTTTTTTTTAGAATTAATGAGATGGAAAATCAAATTTCTAATCCATTATGTTACAACAAAAACATATTTCTGATGTCGTAGTAATTAATTTGATGTAAGTTATTGGACATTATTGAGATATTGAGGCGTTTGAAGTTGTGCATATTATCGTTTTTTCCGTAAACTAGCTGCAGTAGAACGATCAGTACAAAAAAAAAGAAAATAGTATTTGCAAATATTCTACATTAACTTACAATAAGAAGAATAAATCTACTGTTTACTTTTATTGGGAATAGTCAAGATCTTTTCTAAGGGGGTAAGCGAGGCGCTCAAAAATTACGAATTTTGCAAAAAATGTGAAAGGGCTCTTAACGCAACAGAATTATAAATATCCACTTTTTATGGAGTTACATAAAAACAACACATATAAATAACGTACGAAAGTTTTAAAAAACTTTTCAAATAGCCTATATAAAAATTTAAACTCATGAAATTATGAATAGTAAACTTATAAAATAATCATCTCACTTAGCGTTGGGAGCTAGGTACTGCCTGACGGCGACATTGAGCTGCGTCACCAAGTCGTGACAGTGCGCGGATGGGTGTGCGGCCCAAGGCTTGGCCGTCAGTTGAAGCAAGCACCCGTGCAATGCCGCCTGGCGTAAAGGCGCGTAGCTCGACGATAAAGATTTGAGGAGCTTTTGATGCACCGATGATAGTTCCTGTCGATTTCGATTTTAGGATTTATTTTATACTAAGTACTTGTACAAAAGATGACAAACAAACATGATACATGTTGGAGGCCTTTTGTCAATCATTTTTGATCGATGTTTTATCGCACTCGTTGTTCGAGGTCTAAAACGAGTTTTCAGAAAAGACAGCGGTATGGCTGTGTTCCTGACATTGCTGAATCCCTGGGCGATAGTTACCACTAAACATCATGGGACCCAGCCGCTCGTCTGCGATTAAACTTAATAAAAAAATCTTCGAAATGCATGCAAAGCCACATAAAATTTCACATGAATTATCTTCAACCAATCCGCACTAAGTCTGGGAAGTGGCATGATGATGAACACGTGATTTGTAAATAAGTCATAACCGTGATAAATTTCTACAAAAAATATACTTATCTATGAATCATAACGTGTATTTGTATCCTTTAGTCTAGTATCCCATAACACAAGCCTTACAGTTTTCACTTTGGTCTTAGAATTATAACGCCGGTGTTATTGTTTTGTTTGCTTTGTCAATGTTAAAAATATTTATTAATTAAAATTTATTTTTCTCTGTTATGTTATTATACCATAATAAATAAAATAAATAAATAATAAATAAAATAAATAAATATTTAACACACTCACAACAATTAGCCTAGCCCCAAAGTAAGCACTATAAGGCTTGTGTTATGGGATGCTAGGGTAACGGATAGAATACATATACCGTACATATATAAGTATATTTATATAAATACATATTAAACATCCATGACTGGAGTACAAATGCTCGTAATCATCACACAAACATCTGGATTCGGATTCGAACCCGGGACCTCTCGAGTCGGCGAAAGCCATGAAACCCGGCCTACAAACCACTCGGCCACGGAGGTCGTCGAGATAATACACCTTACTTCAGGGCTAGAGTGTGTGTAAGAAATATGTATTTCTTCAACTCACCTGTAGTGGACTGCAGACAGTATCCAGCGCTGCGAGGCACAGCGATAACGCATGCAACAATGCACGCGCCGCCGTATTATATTGCTGTAGATGCGAATGTGCAGCGCCGGTGGTGGCAGCTATCAAGGCGCCCGCCCACCACCACTGCGAGGCGGCGCTGAATGAACCGCCCCCGCTAGCGTGCGCTACTGACGATACGAGCGCTACTCGAGCGCAACTACCCGTGTCCGCCTGTCAAACAAACGTGGCAGATACTCTTATACGTAATAGAACGAGTGTTGTATTGCTAAAGATGAGAATGTGCATGTGGCCTCTATCAAGGCGCCCGCGCACCACCAATGCGGGGCGGAGCTGAATAAACCGCCCGCTCTAATTGCGCTACTGACGACATGAACGCTACTCGAGCGCAACTACCCGTGTCCGCCTGTCAAACGTGGCCGATACTCTTATATGACGAGTATTGTATTGCTATTGATGAGAATGTGCCGCGCACGTAGTGGCAGTTATCAAGGCGCCCGCCCACCACCACTGCGAGGCGGTTCTTTATAAACCGCCCCCGCTAGCGTGCGCTACTCACGACACGAACGCTACTCGAGCGCAACTACCCGTGTCCGTCTGTCAAACAAACGTGGCAGATACTCTTATACGCAATAGAACGAGTGTTGTATTGCTAAAGATGAGAATGGGCATGTGACCTCTATCAAGGCGCCCGCGCACCACCAATGCGAGGCGTCGCTGAATAAACCGCCCGCTCTAATTGCGCTACTGACGACATGAACGCTACTCGAGCGCAACAACCCGTGTCCGCCTGTCAAACGTGGCCGATACTCTTATATGACGAGTATTGTATTGCTATTGATGAGAATGTGCCGCGCACGTAGTGGCAGTTATCAAGGCGCCCGCCCACCACCACTGCAAGGCGGTTCTTTATGAACCGCCCCCGCTAGCGTGCGCTACTCACGACACGAGCGCTACTCGAGCGCAACTACCCGTGTCCATCTGTCAAACAAACGTGGCAGATACTCTTATACGCAATAGAACGAGTGTTGTATTGCTAAAGATGCGAATGTGCAGCGCCAGTAGTGGCCGCTATCAAGGCGCCTGCCCACCACCACTGAGAGGCGGCGCTGAATGAACCGCCCCCGCTAGCGTGCGCTACTGACGATACGAGCACTACTACCCGTGTCCGCCTGTCAAACAAACGTGGCCGATACGTAATATAACGAGTGTTGTATTGCTATAGATGAGAATGTGCATTGGATGGGTGACCAAAAATCTTCTATCTCGAGTTCCTTGGTGCTTCGGAAGGCACGTTTAGCCGTCCCAACTGCATCTGCAGACGTTAGCCCCACTAATCCGCATTGGGCCCGCGTGGTGGTTTATGGCCCAATCTCCCTATTCCATCCATAGGGAAGGCCCTAGCAATGGGGACATTAATATGCTGATGATAATGATGAATTAACTTTATCCAAGGTTAGATATATTCGTTTTTTCCGTATTTTAAATTAAAAATAAACCGAAAAAAGCTTGGAGTTTTTGTCGTAAGCGGTTTTCTTGTTACCTTAACTGTATTCCGGCCAAATAAGAATCCGACCGTATTATATATGTATAATATTCAACTCTGTCATCCTCGGGGGCATTGTTCCAGAGGCGTGGACCAGGAGCGTGGTGGTGTTGTTCTACAAGAAAGGCGATAAAACCCGCTTGAAGAACTATCGACCTATCTCGCTCTTGAGCCACGTCTATAAGTTGTTTTCGAGAGTCATTACAAATCGAGTTTCGCGCAGGTTCGACGACTTCCAGCCTCCCGAACAAGCCGGTTTCCGAAAGGGCTTTAGTACCATGGACCACATATATACGCTGCGTCAGCTCATACAGAAGACCGAGGAGTATAATCGGCCTTTGTGTCTAGCGTATGTGGACTATGAGAAGGCCTTCCATTCGGTCGAGACTTGGGCGGTGCTGCAGTCCCTCCAGCGGTGCCAAATTGACTATCGATATATCGAAGTGTTGAAGTGTTTGTATAGAAACGCCACTATGTCAGTCCGAATCCAGGAGAGAAGTACGAAACCGATTCCATTGCAGAAGGGTGTCAGACAGGGGGACGTAATTTCCCCGAAACTGTTCACCGCTGCATTGGAAGACGTCTTCAAGCTTCTGGATTGGACCGGACTCAGCATCAACATCGACGGCGAATACATCACTCACCTTCGATTTGCAGACGATATCGTGGTTATGGCAGAATCCCTGGAGGACCTTGGCACAATGCTCAATGACCTCAGCAGAGTTTCCCAACGGGTTGGTTTAAGGATGAACATGGATAAAACCAAGGTCATGTTCAATGTCCATGTCACTCCAGCACCAGTATCTGTTGGGAATGCGATTTTCGAAGTTGTCGATCATTACGTCTACCTAGGACAAACAGTCCAGTTAGGCAAATCCAACTTCGAGAAAGAGGTCAACCGACGAATCTAACTCGGATGGGCAGCGTTCGGGAAGCTTAGGCACATCCTCACGGCCAAAATTCCCCAGTGCCTGAAAAGAAGGGTCTATGACCACTGTGTGTTACCAGTGATAACTTATGGGACTGAGACGTGGTCTCTGAATGTCGGCCTCATAACAAAACTCAGAGTCGCGCAACGTGTTATGGAGAGGGCTATGCTCGGTGTTTCCCTACGTGATAAGATCCGAAATACGGAGATCCGTAGAAGGATCGGTGTGTACGACATAGCCCGAAGAGTTAGCACGCTGAAGTGGCAATGGGCAGGCCACATCGCTCGAGGATCTGACAACCGTTGGGTAAGAAAGGTCCTCGAGTGGCGACCACGTACCGGACGACGCAGCGTGGGGCGGCCCCCAACAAGGTGGACTGACGACATCGTCAAATGTGCTGGGAGCCGCTGGATGCGGATAGCGCAGGACCGCGCATTGTGGCGTTCCATGGGGGAGGCCTATGTCCAGCAGTGGACGGAGAAAGGCTGATGGATGAAGAATCCGACCTTTTGCGAATCCGACCAAGTGCGAACAAATGATTAGTAGGATTATTTTACCAGAAAATTTTCAGACATTAGAAACATAATTACGCAATGAAATAATAATGGGACAGACAGGACTTACTTTTGGCTCGAGCATTTGTGAAGTGACATCCATAAGAAATTGGAGACAGCTATTCACGTCAATATCTTTGTACTTCTTTATTCTCTTAATGTGTTGACGAACACGGAACGATGCCTCCTCGCTTATTTCTAAAGGACAAATGTTATCGGTCAAGCTATGTATTTTCAACTTTGTGAGCGTTTAAAAGTTACAAAATTTCATTATATATGTCTACTGATAAAAACAGACCTTATCACGTTCATAGTTTCGATGTTTATGCATAACGTCGCATCGATTATTATTTTATATCAAGATAGAAAATTAATTGGAATAATCAATATTCCCAAGTAACCAGGCGAGAATCAAACTTTCTTTGTCCTTTCGCTATTATATCAAAGAAAGTCTTAAAGCAAGATCGATAATCGTCGTAACAAAAAAAGGAAGCGAAGAGGAACGGGGTTGAATCTCACCTGATGGTGAATCTTGAGTATGATTGAGATGTTGTTTTGATACTAAGCAGCATTTCAAGATCGTTATCAAGATCGTTCTCAGATTTAAGAGAGTTCTATTTATACGGGCCTTAGATATAGAAACTTGTTATATTTAAAAGTTCAATATTGAAATTACCGAATTGAAAGGAAGTTATTGCAATGGAGCGCTTATCTAGAGAATTGTGCTCCCCTAACAATTTGAGTAGAGTTACTTACAGTCTTTTCTGTAAAAAAAACCACTTACCAGAAGCTAATTTCAAATACTCCATGCTGAACTGCGCGTAGTGATATCTGACGCCTGCGTCGTTCATGAGAGGTATCCTCTCCAGATTGACGGCATCAAATATTCTGTACGCAGACGTGCCGACTAGGAGATTTCGGAGGCGTTGCATGCTGTTATAAATTAATACTCAATAAATAGTAAAAAAATACTATTAATTTATATTTTCGGTATATGGCCTAAAGATAAGAAAAACATTTATTAATCCAATGATTTGTTTTAGAAACAATTTAGACCTAACCAAGTTAAGGTGCCGCTGTGAGAGTACTTCCTATCATTTTGCTGTAAAATTAACGTTCGCCGTATAAACGTTATTAAGAAAAGACGCAGAAAAAACTTTGTTAAGTTTCGTTTCGCCCCCAGTGTGGCATACTCTTTAGAAAAAAAATCTTATTCTTATAGATAACTTGCTATCCTTATTTTTCGTCGTAGAGATCGAATTTCAAAACAACATTAAACACGTTTTTTTTTTAAAGTTTCAGTTTACTTTATCTAAGCCAAGTTTGAAAGCTGTCAAGCTAGCCGAACTCGTTTTTTTCCATACAAACTTTGAAACCCTATATCACCCAATTCACGGTGAAATATTCAAAATTCTTTTCTCGCTTGATGCCTACGTGATTGAACAACCTATTTTCTAAATATCATGTCTCTACGACCATAAGTGTAGACATGCGTTGTCGCAGTATTTTAAACTTCAACATGCTATATATTTGTTTTATGAGGGTAGTTTTTGTAGAGAAAAATGAAAACCCAGATAGCATTTTTATTTTATACAGAGTGCGTGTGCAAAATTTTAATCAACCTATGCACTTTTGGATGATCTCCCATACCAACTTTGACACGAAATCTTGTAATTTATTGAGGTTAGTTGTAAAAAAAATATGTAACAGGCTTAGTGTACATCTATTAAATAATGTTTATGCAAACGAATGGGCCCAAGAGATAAGATTTTACGAACAAACGTTTTTTGCAAATTTTCATGCTTAAGAGGCAGAATTTCAAAAAATCCCATCATATTTGACTAGGCAATAATAGGAACCTACTGCCCAAAATTCATCATTCTAGGTCCAGCCGTTGCGGCTGTGTGCTGATGAGCCAGTCAGTCAGTGCATCCTTTTCTCTCATTATATAATAGAATATATGATGCTCTTGTAATGCCGTCAGGTATATGTAAGCAGTGGTAATGCATTTACAAGATTTCTATTATTATCTATATATATAAAACTCAAAGGTGACTGACTGACATAGTGATCTATCAAGGCACAGCCCAAACCACTGGACGGGTCGGACTGAAATTTGAAATGCAGGTAGATGTTATGACGTAGGCATCCGCTAAGAAAGAATTTTGATCAATTCTACCCCCAAGGGGATAAAATAGAGAATGAAAGTTTGTATAACACTTTGTCAATTTTAAACCGATCGGGCTGAGACTTTGCATGCAGGTATAAGAAGAATCATAGATGAATGTCATTGTGTATAATACAAGCCTGAGAACAAAAACTGTAGTCTACACTTCAGCTCTACGCCGAAGCGAAGCGAGGGCGGGCCGCTAGTTATAACATATTTTTGCAATAGCATAGCTTTGCGGGGCGTACGAAAAGGACGTTTTAATTTTAATATAGAGGGAGTCCATAAAAAAACGCGGGTTTGATCAAGTCTTCATCGGAAAAAAAATATTCTCTTACTTTTATAATACCAAAAAAAAATATTTAAAAATAATCTTACCCAACGCTAACATGATGATCGGCTCGAGGAACATGCAATACGCCTCGCCTTTTCACTCGAGGCGCTGTATTTATCAACAACTGGGTGATGCCTCGCACGGCCCAATGGGTGCCGTTGCCTTGTAAGGCGCCGAGCAAACCCACCCACATCTCTTCGAACTGCTTCTTCGACGACCAACCAATTAAGTTGACCCTGTAGAAGGATTGGACTTTAACGGACAAAAATTTTTATATAACTAATTTGATACTGACTAAGCTGAAAATTGGAAACTTTAAGCTAACAGGCTTTCGTCGCGCCCAAGCAGAGAATCTCCTCGAAATAGATGTCATGTCTGTCATGCACATTTACATTACGTTTACAGGCATTCTCACGCAGTTTAAAAGTTTTCTATTTGGTCGGAAGTTAAGCAACTTTCGCAATGAATGGCCAGGATGGGTGACCAAAAATTTAGCTCCTCAGGCTTTAAAAGGCACTTTAAGACAAAGGTACACTGTAAATGGCTTGTCCCCTAAGTTATCGCTATTAAAAAATGAAACAGAAACCCAAAATACCCAATTAATATGGAAACCTAAGTACCTGAACAAAAATGCCTCTAAGACATCCATGTCCTGCAACGCTTGCAAGGGTAGATCTATCTTTTGGATCTGATCGTTTTTGGATATCACTTCCACAGAAGACCAGGCTATTGGTGGTATCAACGCTATATTGCTGACTATGTCTAACCTGAAAGAAAATGTATAATATGAATGAATTGATAATAAGTCTGATTAAAACCATCCATGCAGTTGTTCATAGCCAAGCCGAACTTCCTTATTCAAGAAGACAAATAAATGATAATGCCAGATTCTGATCCATCATTTGCAGTAATAATAAATTTATGAAAAAATATATACGATTTTTTTTTCTCGTACTTATTTAATTATTTTAATTTGTAAAACTTGTGGATACGAAATAAATATTAAAATAATGTGTACCTACTGTTTCCGTTAGGAGAAGAACGAAAACATGGCATATGCGTTTTGTTGCATGACAAACAATAAAATATCAATGAAGTTTTCAAAAAATATCGTTCTCTTTTTTAACATAATAATACTAATACGCAATATAATCTCATAAAATATAAGATTGTATTGGCTTCTTTCACTTTTCCCATTTTGTACCATGTAAACCATTATTGCTATCAACAGATCCACTTACCTAGACAAGCTGACTAGCAAAGTTTCCACAGGTTTCTTGTAACACTTGGGTATACAGTCCGTCTGTCTAACGCACATATTCTGCTCCCAGTAATCTATGAGTGTGACTAATTTGTCACCAACTATGACTAGATCCGGCTGTGGACCGGAATCGCTCATTTGCATGTAGTGTTTTAGGATAAGAGGTCTTGTGTCCTGTACAGAAAGACAAAAATTGGATTACGTTCGATTTTGAATATTGCTTTCAGTCTAAAGTATATCTATTTTCTGTAGAGTACTTTGAGTAACAACCTCGATAATTCGAATAATTTAATCTTTGTCACTATTACTATATGGGCCAAGACAAAGAAAATAAAAAGCGTATGGCTTCGAATCTCTTTTGGAAGAATTCAATGAAACAACAGTATTGCCACGGTACAATATACTCATATTGAAAAATGATCTTAATCTATACTATTATATAAAGCGAGAAAATAATATACTGACAGACTGACTGACTCATCAACGCACAGCCGAAACGGCTGGGCCTAGAATGATGAAATGTGGACAGTAGATCCTATTATTGCCTAGACAAGTAATAAGATAGGTTTTTTTGAAGTTCAGCCTCTTAAGCGTGAAATTCGCAAAAAACTTTGTTCATTATGTTTCCATAGTATTTAATACACCCGTGTGAAGCCGGGACGGGTCGCTAGTCTTTAAATAAATTTCCAAAAAGTAGCGACGGCTGGTTACGTGGATATCTATGTTTCTAGGTACACTTAAACGGAAAGGAAATAAACCATATACGAGTATTTTTCGATAATAATGAATGAATTAATAAATACCTTGACTAAATATTTGACGATAGCGTACAGGCAACTAATCGCCGATTGCGTCCTATTCACGTTGCCATCGACATTCAACTCAGTCCACATCTCATCGAACGTCAAAGCGTTAGCAACATTATCCATCACCATTTGTATGACGTTGTCAACGACGACATTTTCCGCCACCGAAGCTGTCACTCTAAAGGAAACATCCGTCTGAACTGGACTTTCGACAATCCTTTTATTCTTAATCAAAAACGAAAGGTACTGCAATGAAATGACGCAGAATATCGCAATGTTTTTAGTTAAAGTTGTTGGTAAGATGTTTTCCATAGATTTTTCTAACAAATCGCAATCCGCTTCGTCGACAGTACTCAATATTCTGTCCAAAGCGTTCAATAGACCAGACAATATAGTTTGCAAAATCACGAACTCTTGATAAAACAGTTTGTCCTGAAACACTTGGTGGCATCGTCTTGTGTATCTATCTATGGTCAGTTCTATATTTAAATTGAAGTTTTCCGATTGGCTGAGCGGCCGATTCTGCTTGGGGAATAATCGTATTACGTCGGTCAAAGATTTGTCGAAGGTGGTTAAAGCGACTCGATACAGTTCTGGTATATCGGGCAAGACCAATTCTACTTCATCGTCAGAAAGCTCTAAATTGCCGAATCTTTCTTTGATTTCATTTTCCGATATCGAGATAAAGAACTGTGATTTAGACTCCTTGTTGTCACTCTTTTTGAATACGTGCAGTGTGTTTACTACGTTGAGTTTGTTGCTGTCTATCGATGACGTCATCTCTTCTTTCGACTTCGCCATTTCTCTCTGCCTTCTTATTGTGTCTCTTTCCTCTTCTCTCGTCTCGTAAGTAGAAAGGTTATTTAGAAACTCTCTTAGGAAATTATCGCACGCGACTTTGAAACACGAGCTGAGAAGCTTTCTATCGAATTCCGGACACGTCATGACATTGGTCAAATCCTCTTTCGACAAATTGGATAAGAGAAGAGCAAGCTCATTGTGTTTAGGTACTTTAGGTGAAGCACACTCTGCTTGGCAGCACCTGTGAATAATGACGTAGAAGTTTTACGTCATCAAATTTACTAAAATATATAGATTATTTTAGTAAATTTGATGACGTAAAAGGGTATTCTATTGTGTCATTAGAATGAAGAGAATCAGGCTCAAAGGACCATGAATGCGAGTTGTAGCACAGATGAAAAGATTCGAATCACTAGTAACTACGAGTTTGAGACTGAACAGAATATACCTTGTCATTTAGTATAATTAGTTCACAGGTAGTTTAAAATATTCTTACCTTGTCTTGACTTGGTTCAACAACCAGTTTGAGTCGACGTTGGTGGTGACAATGTATTGCGGATTGATCGCTCTGTCCTGTGACAGGTCCAGAGGAGACAGGTCAAACACACTTGAAGCCAATGAGTTTAATTCTAATACTAACGACGAATAGCTGTAAGGACAATAAAAATGCTCAACATTATGTAATTGCAACATCCATTATGTTAGTATTTGTGTTATGGTTATATACTAAAGCATGAAAACCTAATAGCGAAAAAAAGACTTAAGGAGATTACATTGTCCTGTGATCCTAAGTAGCTTAAGGACTGTGTTATAGAATGTGAAACGATAGCTGTAACTTAAAAATAAAGACCCAAAACAATAATGATATTTTATAAATATAGTTTTATAGTTTCTAAAAATATTTTTTCTATTAAATTATTTATTAAAACGCTGAATTCAAAATAAAAAGGACCTTAAAACGCGTTCGAATGTTTATTTTTTTTTTTGATAAACAGGACGGTTTTCAAACATTTGTAAGTAATAATATTGTAAGCTTACCGCACATGCACTTTATCTCTTTGTAGCAGCTCTAAAGCGACTTGCACATCCTCTTTGGCCAACTGCACATTTATCTTTTCAATCGGCATATCCTTTAACATTTTGCAACGATCCACGGCCAGTTTTGAAAATCTGAAAAGCAATAGTACTTTATAAGAGATTGAGCTAAGAGAATGTTAACTTTCTTGTGGACCACCTTCTTTATTTTATGACCTTGTAATGATTTAAGTTGCCATACTACTTATTGAAGTAAAAAGAAATATTAATAAAACAAATATTTACCCGAAAAATAAGTACTGAGCTGAACTCGAAACAGCACCCATGGCTGTCTAAATATAATTCTTGTCCGAAGCAATATAAAGATGATTTTCTTTTTTCACTTAAATCGTAATTTATAGAATCACTGTTATACAAACCTCACGGCTATCGCGGGCTCCAATTTCCCAATAATCCGACATATCAGAAACACCAATGCTCCCGATTGGTTTTCGTGACAAAGAGACAGAATTTTATATGTATTTAATGCAAACTCGTCCTGTAATATTAAGTAATTTAAGTATAGTATTTATTATAAAAAAAATTGGAATTAAGAACCCATTTCTCGTAATGTCATAACCACAACAAACCTTCAAACAGGTCTGACATCTAGCGGCGACCGCTTGCAACAACAGTCCAGAAGCGCCACCCGTCTGTTGAACTTTGCATATCAATTTCTGCACTATCTCCGAGTGGTATTGGTGCACTAATATGTGTACCCGGTTCACTAGTAGCCATGTCAAGTGCACCGCTTCAGATAAGCCATTTTCAACCTAAAGAACATGAGCAAAAGATGTAGTACTAATTAAAGATACAATATGATAGATTTAAGTCAAAATGCACATTTATTGAACGTTGAGGAGCTCATGGCGTTGTGTTAAGAGACATGTGTAAAGAGAGTGGTTAGAGCGTTCAGCTGCGATCGTTGAAGTTAAGTAACTTTCGCAGTGGGTGGTCATTGGATAGGTGGTCAAAACTTATTATCTCGAACTCCTCCGTGTTTCAAGATGGTACGTTAAGCCGTTGGCCAAGACTGCATTTGCAGTCGTTAGCATCCACCAATCCACCCTGGGCTCGCGTGGTGGATTATGACCCAATCTCCCTATTTCTCTTATAGCAAGGACCTGTGCCCAAGCAAAGAGGACAAGTTGATGACGGTGAAAAGTATTACTTACGAAATATTCGCAATATGCCATTACGCAGGCAATTTGCAATATATCAGCGCATAGCAGTTTGGTGTCGCCACTGTGAGCACTGAGCGGTAGATTTCTGGCATACCCGATAAGCTTCTGCCAGTACTTGTGGGAAAGGAAATTCAGTCTGCAAAGAAGATAACATAAATAAAAAAAAATGTTTCGTATACTATTACAATGGACCACTTACAATAGTCTATTTAATCATTTCTGGTGATCGGCATTGTTCGGCTTCCTCTAAATAGGGATGATGACTAACCTTTTTTCATTGTTCGTCAGGTAGAATATCAAAAAATATTGGAACACGTATTTTTTAGTTTTTTACATAATCAAAAAATACAGAGATATTTTGAATTGAAATATCATATGATGTCACTTCTTGGTCCAATTTTTTGGAGGATGCATTGTGTGCCAGTATATAGTTTATGTAATCTGTCACACTATAGACTCTTGACACATTGTAAGTTTCAATCTAAAGAAAATTTTCGTAGAAAAAAAATCCACGCGGTCCAAGCAGCATTTTTCGATTTTGAAGCATTTTCTTTCGATTTACAAAATTAGCAGTTAAACGCTTAAAACATAAAATATAACTTAATTCTGTTGTTCGAAAAAATATACCTAAGTCTCAGTACGTGTGTCTTTCATTCAATGTTTTAACTGGTTTTTGCACTGTGTATTTAAAAAAATTACATTACAATTTGTCAGTGACTTCACGAATCGCCACTCCCAAACTTTCACGCGCTTTGTGTTTGCTATTTTTTAGTTGATTGACAAAAGAAAAATTAGTGTCCATTATATGTCCATTATAATGCAACTGATGGATGGTCAGAATACAATTTCGTTAAGTTTCACCCAGTCATCATACCTATTCGGTCTGGTCACTAGGTTACTAGGAGACTATTTAAAAATGGCGCAGGAAAGTTCAATACGGATATACTGAAGATTATCCGGACATACAGGGCGATGAACATTGGTCATACCACAGGAGAAAATTTAAAAACCCTGGACGTTGACCCTGAGTAGCGCGAAACTAGGAACAACAATATCTCGACCGGATTGCATAGCCAATTCCTAAACGGCCCTTATCAGAGCCAACAGACAAAAGATGCTGGACATTTTGGCATCTGCCGATTGAATATTGAAGGCTTAAGCCGCGCAAAATGTCCAAAGCGTCGCTACCGCAGAGCGGCTTGAAGGAACATTACGGAGCCGAAGCTAGGTAGCTACGGCTCCGTAGAGTTCCTTCATGCCATTCAAGTTCCTGCCAGTCCAGAGTCACAGTACACCTGTACTTACGCTCTTGTCTGGCTGCGCGACTTGGATATTAGTAATACCTAGCCAAAGTTACTTCCAATTAAATAAATCGCCACATGATCAAATAAATCAAGTCTCAAAACAAAATTTCAATGTTTATGTGCAAGAGCGATTGCCGCACTAAGAAACGAAAGAGGTGCGTGCGCTAATAGCAAAAGCAGTGTCTTAAAAAAAACAATCGCATTGTACAAAAGACACATCTCTTCTCCGCGCCGCTTCAGTGGAAACAGTATTAGTGGAGTTGAGAAGAATAACATTAAAATGTATCGGAGGAATTGAGATAAACGGAGCTGTTACATAGCTTTATTTAATTCTTCAACTGGCTGCAAATGAAATACATTCACAGCTCCGCTCAGCTGATCTTCAATCTGCTCCACTCCGCTCGTCTCCACTTTATACAGCTTTGCTCGTCTCGGTACAGCTCATATTCGCATAGCTTCAATGGAAACACTTGCCTATTTACACGACTTTGCTCAGCTCAATTCCGCACACCTTTTGAGAAAATGAGCCGTAAATGTTTAGTTGTCTAGCAATATTTACAATCGTCCACACAAAGCAAAGAAGTTCTTTAATAAATTGACAATAATAGTAAGGGTAAACTAGGGCGACAATGGTCGCACCAACGCTGATGTTCTATCAGGGCCTGATAAAAAATTAAAAGACGGCAGAACATGAACAAGGTACAGCAAAAAAACTCAAGTAGAACGTCCCCTATTCCGGACAAGGCTGCATAAAAAAAGTATTCTTTACCTTGTAGACTAAACTGAGAGAGAGAAAGATAGAAAAATAATATTTTTTCAAAAAAATATCTGAACGGAAAATGTGACGCGTTGGCTGCAAGCGCATAAGCAATACAGAAATAAAAAGAATGGGCTCTTCCGCAATTGCCACGTACACAAACGAAATTACAAACACGAGAAACAATAATTAAGACAAAAATGCAACTGTAAACAATTATAGCAGTGCGAACGAAATACATAACAGCATCCGTAAATAATGCTCTTTTTTGTGTTCATGATAATATAGACAAAGTACAAGAAAAATTAATAAACAAGCGAGCTAATGAATGGAAGAATTTTCAGTTCCAGGCAAGGCAGAACAGTTAACAGTTTTTACAAGTATGACATCTTCTCATGTCGACGGATCCAATTGACCAACAATCAGAATTGGTTTACTAAACCAACAAAATTACCGCGAGCATAGCTGTGTGTTAAAAAATCTAGTGATAAAACAAAAGAGATCGCGAAAGCAATAAACTCACTTATAATAAATAACTTACTTAAAAATATATTTTTAAGAGCGTATACGCGCTCCGTGCGCTGTTTGGCTCAAAAACGTGATTTTTCAAACCAGATTGTCCACCAACCAATTATCTTACAAACATGTGAATTGCTTATAATTTTAGGAAATGTTTTAATCTATGTCGTTAGTTAAAGTTTTTTTGCGATTAAAACATTGTTTGTGAATACCATCAAGATAACTGAACAGAGGTTTACTGGATTTCACTCTCAGTGTCAATTTCGAAGCTAAAAATATCTGAAATTCCTAACAGATCTAATAAACAAAAATTTTTAACTAACGGCAAAGATCCTTAAGAAAATCATTAGTTAAAGGGATTTTTTGTTTTAGCTTCCAAACTCATGAAATTAAAATCCATACAAAGTGAATTTTTTTAGAAATTACAGTCGATGAAATGATTTTTTTAACCAATACATATTACTTAATTTAATATAATTTATATTAATTGTAATAGAAGAATGCATCCTTTATAAGTAACGATTAAAAAAGTAAACTAAATTAGCTCTATTATTTTTCTATAAATATTTTAAATCTACTATAAAACTCTGCGCTCGAACCTATTCAAATCAGTCGGCAGCGAGCCATTCCAGAGAGAGGACACGTCGCTTTGCGCTCTGCTTGACCGCTATTGACCTTTGCCGTGCGTACGCGTAGTTCCAAGGATAGCTCAAGTTTATAGCGTGATCGTCAAATCTTAGTACTTTGGTGAGTAAAATTTTATTTTACGACCAGCAATATTTATAGTGATCGTAAGTACTTGAGTAAGTTTTTTGACCGACATTATTTGATAGTGACAACAAATTATGTTTCAGACGGAATGGGAAATAAAACTAAGCGATTTTTGGGAAAGTGAAAACGCAAAAATTTTGAAAATATGGCTAAAGCAAGAACTAAAAGGTTTGTATATATATGTTAAGTATCACCCGCGTAAAATGTGCTTATTTTTGACTGGTCAAAAGCGCCTGCACCTAATTAGGTTTACTTTAATAACTTTTTTAAATTGAATTTATGAGTAGGTTTATTCTATCAAACAAAAAAAGAATTCTATAAGAACAGTCGAGTAAGCCCAATGATGCATTAAATTATGGTGATGCAGATCACGTAAGTATTTTGATTATTATGGTTAGTAAAAGAATAATGAAAAGTACAATGGCGAAATATTTGTTGAAGTAAATCTTTAGCGTCTATAGATGTCATTATCAAAAATGTTAATAAAATAATCTCAAAAGATTTATCAAACAATTGAGGAGGGTTGTCTAAGTCTGGAATTAAAACTTAATAAAGGGAAACACAATTGACTATTTCTTTATTTTTTTATTGTGTCTTGGCATCATGGCTTTTGAGCCATTTATTTTAAGTGATTTTAGTGATGAAATCAACTTCAAGTATGTTGTTCGTATGTTTTGCATCGCTTTACGCTTAAACTATATATAATTATCTATCAAAAATATCGGGAAACATTATTTTTCAATATTATGCTGAAACCTTAATAAACAATCTTCACAATACAAAAAGAGTATGGCGCCAATTCTAACGCAAAAAACTATAACTGTCACTGTCATGCTGGTCATCGATTTGTTGTTGTTATTGTTATCACTATCGTTGTTTGTGCATGCGTATTGCAAATATTTAAATCAGCGTATTGTGTTTTTTTCTGCGATTTGTTTTTATATGTAACTTAGACTGCTTTTGGACTTTCGAAATCTTTCCCTGCGGCTGTTGAGTAGTGCTTGCCTAAGACTTCCGAAACTGATATTTTGGACGACTTCTTGCTGTGTATTTTGGACAAGATTCTGTTCGATTTTTTTTTTCATTATATCTGCTATCTATAACATTGTGATCAAAGAAGATATGGAATAAAATATATATAAAAAAGTGTTTCCTATTTAATTAATATCCCATTAGTACATTATTAGAAATCCTTTTTTTTGCTTTATTATTGCTGTGGGCATATTCAAATTGTTAAGTACTTTTTACAGCACAGAAATTGTATTCGAACTCAATAACCCTTTTCTGATAAGTATTATAAAGTATTTTGGCGCGGTCAGTACCTACGCCCGCAGATCATAAATTATTGTTGTGGACGAACTAACTTAAATTTTGGAAAATTGATGGGTCACAATACCAACCACGACTGATACTTTCAAATCCAAGGCCAGCTCCATATCAGGTGACAATCACTATCAATTTATTTTATTGTAACGACTAACGTTCGGTTGACTGTGCGTATAGCTCAGCATTGATAGAAATGTACTTCAATATTTTTTTTTCAGTCAAAAAAATGTGTGTCTGTTTGCGGTGTGGACGGGACAGGAATTCGCTGTAAAGACCACAAAAATTACAAGAGACGACGTATTTTGGACAACAAAAATGGAACCTAAATTATTGGAGTTCTACAATAAATGTCTTTTGCCTGAGTTGATCGATCCGAGAAAAATTCGGTCAATGCCAATTAGAAATGTGCAATTATAAAATTAGATAATTACTTTAAAGTTTGTTGTTTTAATTTATTATAACAATTAGATTCAAAAAATTAAATCATGAAATTGATCCTAAATAAATAAAAGTATCAAAATGATTCGTGCTAACTGTTTAGCGCTCACGCACACAGAGAAAACATTGTGCCGCAGCGCGTACTCCTTTCGATAGATCGTGTAGATTTTGACTTGCGCAAAATCGAACGCGCGCTCTTAAAACTGTAACTCGCTATGCGATGTGGTATATATGAACTACGTAATGAGAATGTGTACAACATAATACATAGCAGTATAAGAAAACCTAAAAATAGATATTAAATAAGGAATCTTCAGTTCCTGCGCCGGCAAAAGCTTGTACAGAAATATTTTCTCACGATACTCACGAATAACTAGGTTCCTTCACAAATACCTTGGTATAAATTATAAAGAAATCACTGATTAAATTTAATTTTCATGTTTGCAACATTAATATAATCTATAACATCTTTCTTCATTATGGGTATTCAAATATCAACTTACGCCCGACTGTAAGACATGGTGTAAAACCGTGCCTTGAGCCGGCGGAAAATCGTCTCATTAACAAGCGTCCTTATGTGGCTAAACGAATGTGTTGTAGTTTCGATACAATATGTTAATATACGGACATCGCACTAACGAATTCGCTGAACTGAGTAGTCGTCTGCGGGGTAAAGGGTGTGGGGGAGGAAGAAAACAGGGACCGTGAGAGGTGCGGGCGGCGGCTACATTCTTGACAAAATTACAAGCGACCGCCGCCCGCACCTCTCGCGGTCCCTGTTCTCATCCCCCCCAAACCCTGTACCAGGGATGTAATCGGAACCGAAGTCGGAGCCGGAGTTTTTAATTTTGATTTATCGGAGTCGGAACCGGAGTCGGAGGCAGAGACGGAGGCAGAGTCGGGGTCAGAAGCAGAGTCAGAAGTGGTCACAATAGAAATATTTTTAATTTTAGAACAAATAAAAACATCATTCTGTCAACGTTTTTTCATTTAAATTTACTAATTATTAACACAGACTCAGATATGAACCAGTTCGTAACGGTCGACGCAGTCCACCGTCGCTATTTGCTTATGCTTCGACCTCCGATTTAAAAGTATCGAAGCTGAAATCGGAACCGTAGGTGTAATAATAATCGGAAGTTCCGGCTTATCGGAATCGAAGCTCCGTAACATCCCTGCCCTGTACCCCGCAGGCGAGGTCTCAGTTAAGCGGTTTACATGTAGTTGATCAAAGAACGGTCAACCTGGTGAAGCGTTCATTGGTGTACGGTTGATTTAACTAGTCTGTTAATTCAACACCCTTTGCTAAATAATACTGCATGTTTCATAATTCAGTTTCTTGATCACAAGTCAGCCTCCAATTTGTTACTCTTCCCAATGTAATATGGTATTATCGCCATTTGACTGAATATCTTACATATCTGGCTTATACGGTTACTTAATATGATGTATGAAGTAACCGTATGTTGATGAAAAAACACAAAAGCCCAATAAGTTTTGGGAAGGAAAAAAGGTGTGATGACCAGGCGTCGACCGTTACGATAAAGTGGAAAGATATTGCTTCAATAAAAAAACATTTTATAGTTACATATAATAGTCTAACATAATAATCGAAAAGAGCCGCTTATTTATTTTATCACACATTAAAAATGTCCAATTTACCTTATCAACAAATGAGACCAGTGTACAGTCAGCAAAGGTGCTCGGTGCGCGGATCAGAAGCAGATCAAGTTGAGTAAGTCCAGGCGTATGTTCTCGTCGGGACTGTAGAGGCCGGTTTTCAATCCACTCTGTTCGTTGTGTTGAAGACTTCATTCCTTAACCTATATAATAACGCCCACTTTACCTTACCAACAAATGAGACCAGTGTACAGACAGCAACGGCGCTCGGTGCGGGGATCTCAAGCAGATCAAGTTGAGTAAGTCCAGGGGTCTGTTCTCGTCGGGACTGTAGAGACCGGTGTTCAATCCTCTCTGTTCGTTGTGTTGAAGACTTCATTACTTAAACCTATATAATAACGCCCACTTTACCTAATCAACAAATGAGACCAGTGTACAGTCAGCAACGGCGCTCGGTGCGCGGATCTCAAGCAGATCAAGTTGAGTAAGTCCAGGGGTATGTTCTCATCGGGACTGTAGAGGCCGGTGTTTAGTCCACTCTGTTCGTTGTGCAGAAGACTTTGGGCCGTCTTCGCGGTCAGTGGGAATAGGCAACCGTCTAAAAATTTGTAAAGTTTTTTAACCGGCCGGTTGGTTGTCTTATTATACTCTTGTTATGCAGAGTAAATATGAATTCAATGAAAAGTAAAGGTTTATTAAATTTACTATACTTTTGTTACGCGAAGAAATTTAAAGTATAAATTTTAATCCAAATCAGTCATTTAACATATCAGCGCGAGTACTCCTAAAGCAGACTATATCTGTTTCGTGATACTTATCGTCTTTCCTACTCTAACTTACAGAGATTTTAATGCGAAGTGTACTCGAACTCAAAAAGTTTTTAATGTCGTATAGTTTAACTATATAAAACTCACCTTACAGATCAACAAAATAAACATACTCACTCGTCAAATGCAGCATATGTTTAACTTGTATGATTATATTGACACAAACTGCGTACAACAAACTGTGATTCTGAACTCTATCGCTAACATCTTTACGGTCGAAATCGGAACAGCTGGCTTCGTGGCACGAATCCATCTCGACAATGGCGTATGTGAGTGTTTTGAACAAGAATCTGACTAGAATGACATCTGGCGATAGATTGGCGCAGTTCTCATTGACAATTTGCACGTTCAACGGATCTACGTCCAGTTTCACGTTAAAGAATATGGATTGCGGTGACACGCACGTAGCTTTTAGGTAGTTTATAGAGAGTAATATTTCGCTCTCCGGTATCAAGACTAGAACTTTTCGTAGCAACACCATTATTATTGCTAGGTACCGCAATTTCATTTTGTAAGGTGTTGTTTTCTGAAAAAAAGATTGCAATGAAATTAAATGATGTATTTAGTGCATATAAATAGATTATCAAGTATGGTAACAGTTATAATACATCTTGGAGAACTTTGTCATATAGACACGTTGAAAGTATTTGAGTGATATATTTTTGAAACGTATCTTTAAAAATATACTGTTAATTGCCTAAGCGGCGAATTAAGATCAATCCTAAAAGTTTATGGGTTTTTTTATCGAAAAGGTAAATACACACATCAAAAGTGTCTAGGGATCAACATATATTTTTGCAATAACTTTTCTCCTGATTGATATTAATTAAAATTTTCTTTAAGGATTCATCAAATAAAGTGTTTTCGTTTGTCACAGTAACGATAAACCAAGTCACCTTTGCATTAATAAAGAAATTTGCCATTTTCCTAATAAAGGGATTTTTGACATTTGAACCACTAACACAAAAGTTCGAAAAAAAGACTGAAATAACAGTTTTCTCTAAAATTTTATTGGGTAACTTAAACAATTAATAATCCGTATTTCTACCGCGAACACTAACAACACAAGAACATCGGTTTGGCATACTCAAAATGAGTTCATCCAAATCACGCTGTGGAATGGCCGCCCATGTTCGTTGCAACAACAAAAAAAGGTCTTCTTGCGACTGGATACCCTCCATATTCGGCAGAGCTCTTCTCTGTAGCATATCCCATGCATGCTCAATCGGGTTCAAGTCTGGCGACTGAGCAGGCCAGGGCAGGACATTGATGTTAGCTGCGGCGAGAGTCTGTCTTACAACTCTTGCGGTGTGCGGTCGTGCATTATCATGCATTAACTGAAATAAGGGACCGATTTGCACTTGTAGAGGAACGATGACGTCTGATACAATCGTCTCAGCATAAATTTGAGCGTTGAGGTTGCCTCTGATCCAAATCAACTCAGTTCTTCCGCCGATCCAAATACCCGCCCATACCATGATGGTTCCACCACTATAAGGATGGACTTCCTGGCAGGATTTTAATCGCTGTTGGCGTCCAGGGGTTCTCCAGTGTCGTATACGTCGTGTATCCGGTCTCATACCAAAACGAGACTCATCAGAAAAGCACACGAAACGCCATTGTTCTTCTGCCCAATTTCTGTGTTCAAGAGCCCATTGATATCGAATCCTACGATTGTGCATTGCTATAGGTGGTACCCGTAGCGGTCTTCGGGAATGAAGGTTCACTTCATGCAAGCGGTTTCTGACTGTTTGGTCGCTAATTAAGTTCCCTGAAGAGTGATGAAGCCTCACGGCTAACATCATGGCGGTTATTGTTGGAGCTCTTCGAGTTAAGATTTGAATGTATCGGTCTTGTCTCCGTGTGGTGCAGCGATACCGTCCTCCATGGCGCTCAGCCACGGTACCAGTGCTTCGGTATCGTGTCCAAAGTCGACTGATAACACTCTGACTTGTATTCAGAGCTAAAGCCACAGTACGTTGCCGGGAACCAGCTTCTATCATTCCCACGGCTCTGAGCATTTCTTCCCTGCTTAAATGACGTCGCCGCTCCATAATAACGTTGGTTTTAATCAGTAGTAGGGAAACAGTAGCACTAATAATGTCTTCAATGCGTTGTATGTTTTTATAGGGAAAATATTGACAGCTGATTTTCATCTTTTACTCGAATTTGATTCACAGTTCCTGATTCAAGTTATGAAATGCACCAAAAAGGATCCATATAAATTTATAAAATCATAAATTTATTACAAAGCCACATCTCAATCTCAAGAAATCCGCATAAAAATGCTTGATCCCTAGACACTTTTGATGTGTGTATTTTAAACTTGCAATAATTGTAACGATGGCATTATAATAACAAAATATTAGATAAAACAGATTATAGTACCTGATCAGGTGGCGCTTTAAACAGGATCTTGAGTACTAACTCCACTCTACTTTGCTCTAAGAGCACATCTTTATAGACAGAGTCCAAAAGTCTTTCCAATGATGAGATGGCCTCTCTGCAGTCCAATTCAACCGATCTGACGAAATAACAATTGTTCAGCAGAACATGTTAAATGATTTGCTAAATAAGCCGTATAGATACAAAAAATAAGATTTACACTGTCGGAATTAATTTTATTATATACTCTATTCAACTTTCTGTGAGACAAAAGGTAAACAATCAAACCAATGTTTCTAACAACTATTTTATCGACAGAAAAGATGGTCGGTGTAACCAGACTGATAACAAAATTTCACATATCAACGTAAATAATTTGTTCTCTTTAATTTAGTACTATTATAATGCATTCAAAGTTTGGGAATAGGTACAGTATTAAGTCTTTTTAATGTCACTTTTTTAAATTATGTTTTTATATGAGTTTAAAATTCGACCTATTGAAAAACCGTTTAATGATTTGTTTAGCTTTTGTCCCAGTGGAAATTCAATAGAGTATAGTATAGTAGTATATTGAAATAATACGCCTGCCACCAAATAAACTATTTACTTCGTGTTATAATATTGATCAATAATTAAATTAGTATTCGCTATGTGCGAAGTACATGGTGGGGGTATAGTGAAGCGATCGCAGCGCTTATCATGGCAGAAATACGCAACAATCCGGGAAAGTAAAGTCAATTTGCACGGAGTTCGTAATAAACAAAAATTTTTTAAAATGCCTATTAATAGATGTTGTTGTGTTGTGAATTGCAAAAATAAGGGCACAAATAGTCTGTGTATATATTTCCTACATTGGACTGGAAATTAAATCAAAGAAATAAATGGATAGATGCCATAAAAAGAAATAAGTAAGCGAAATAACCTTAAATTATGATCAATTTTATTTGCGCTATATATTTTATGTGATATTCATTATTAGGGGGTATAAGGGGTGCCGCCTAACACCCAACGGCACCCAAGCCAACCTCACCTGCCCGCGGTGTACCCTGCCGACCAACGGACGAGGCTCTGGCGCTCCCCACCAACCCGCACTGGGCCAGCGTGGTGGGAGACGGCCCAAAACCCCCCCTAAAATGATAGTACATAAGAAGAGGCCCCAAGTGCCCGGCGGTGCTGGAGTCCGTGGCGGCGCTGACGGACGCCGACTCGGCGCCGGGACCAGGGGTGCGAAGAATCCCCGGGCGGCAAAAGTCCCCCGTCAAACGACCTTGGCCCTGGCAACGTACAACGCACGCACACTACGGACCGAGGAGAAGCTGCTGGAACTGGAGGAAGAATTGAGCAGGATTCGCTGGAGTATTGTAGGACTATCTGAAGTCCGAAGAGAGGGCGAGGACACGATGGTCCTTAAATCCGGCAACCTGCTCTATTTCCGGGAGGGCGAAGATCTGTCCCAGGGTGGTGTCGGGTTTGTTGTCCACAAGTCTCTCGTGAACAATGTTGTACAGATCGGTAGTGTGTCGAATAGGGTGGCGTACCTTATACTCAGAATCACCAAACGGTATTCGTTGAAGGTCATACAGGTATACGCTCCGACCTCGACGCACCCCGACGAGGAAGTGGAAGTCATGTATGAGGATATTTCTCGGGCAATGCATGCTTCCAGGACCCATTACACCGTTGTCATGGGGGACTTCAACGCAAGGCTGGGCAAACGTGGCGAGGATGAGTTGAAAGTGGGGCAATTTGGAGTTGGAATCCGGAACTTCCGAGGTCAAATGCTAGCCGATTACATGGAGAAGGAGGGACTCTTTATGATGAACTCCTTCTTCAGAAAACGGCTGCATCGAAAATGGACCTGGAAAAGTCCGGATGGCGTGACAAAAAATGAGATTGACTTCATCATGTCGACTAAGACTCGGATATTCAATGATGTCTCAGTGATCAATTCGTTCAATACGGGAAGCGATCACCGAATGGTAAGAGGCACATTGAATCTAAATGTCAAAGCCGAAAGGAATCGACTGATGAAGTCCACGCTCCGTCCTGAAGCCATCCAGATCCAAAACCCCGAGCGCTTTCAACTCGAACTGCAAAATCGCTTCGATTGCCTAGAGAGCTGCGTAGACGTGGACAATTATAATGACAGGTTTGTTGAAGCTGTCCTTACGGTGGGCTCGAAGTTCTGCAAGCCCATCCGTACCAAAAAACGTAGCAAGATCTCGGAGCCGACTCTCAAGCTCATGGAGAAAAGGCGTGAGATGGGTCTGCAGTCCTCTGAAGATGCACGTCGGCAGCTCAATAGGCAGATTTCGAAGTCTCTGACTCGCGACATACGCCGCTTTAATACTGATCGTATTAAAGAGGCCATCGAGCGGAACAAAGGCTCGAAAGTGTTCGCAAGAAATCTGTCTCTTGGACAGAGTTTGCTGACGAAGCTGAAGACAGAGGACGGCAGAATCATTTCGTCGCAACCTGAGCTTATGGCTGAGATCGAAAGCTTCTACGGACAGCTATACGCGACATCACGAGTACCTGTCACAAAGGCGACCGACCCAAGAGCCAAATTAACCCGACACTACACCGAAGATATCCCGGACGTCAGCCTGTACGAGATTAGTGTAGCTCTGAAACAGCTCAAAAACAATAAGGCGCCGGGTGATGACGGAGTTACAGCCGAGCTTCTGAAAGCAGGTGGACGACCAGTCTTGAAATCTCTTCAGAAGCTATTTAACTCTGTCATACTCGAGGGCAGAACGCCTAGCGCATGGCATAGGGGATTGGTGGCGCTTTTCTTCAAGAAGGGCGACAGGGCCCAATTGAAGAATTACAGACCCATCACGCTCCTGAGTCATGTATACAAGCTGTTTTCGAGAGTCCTCACGAATCGTCTCGCGCGCAGGTTTGACGACTTCCAGCCTCCCGAACAAGCCGGATTCCGAAAAGGGTTTAGTACCGTAGACCACATCCATACGCTGCGGCAGGTTATACAGAAGACCGAAGAGTATAACCTGCCATTATGCTTGGCGTTTGTGGACTACGAGAAAGCCTTCGATTCGATCGAGACATGGGCCGTGCTTCGGTCACTCCAAAGGTGCCAAATAGACTATCGATACATCGAAGTGTTGCAGTCGTTGTATGAAAACGCCACTATGTCAGTTCGACTCCGGGACCAAAGCACGAAGCCAATCCAGCTACAGCGTGGTGTAAGACAGGGTGACGTTATATCACCGAAACTGTTTACAGCTGCGCTGGAAGACGTTTTCAAACTTTTGGACTGGAGCGGACTTGGCATCAACATAAACGGCGAGTACATGACGCACCTTCGATTTGCAGATGATATCGTAGTCATGGCTGAGACCATGGATGACCTTGGCACAATGCTCGGCGACCTCAGTAGGGTGTCCCAACAAGTGGGTCTCAAAATGAACATGGACAAGACGAAAATCATGTCGAATTCCCATGTCGTACCCACTCCAGTGACTGTTGGGAGCTCTACACTGGAAGCTGTTGACCAGTACGTATACCTGGGACAAATAGTCCAACTGGGTAAGTCCAACTTCCAGAAAGAGGTTAATCGACGAATCCAACTCGGCTGGGCAGCGTTCGGGAAGCTACGTAGCATCTTCTCGGAACATCTACCGCAGTGCCTCAAGACGAAAGTCTTCAATTCGTGCGTGTTGCCAGTGATGACATACGGAACCGAGACGTGGCCGCTTACAATGGGTCTTGTAAGAAGGCTCAAAGTCACCCAAAGGGCAATGGAGAGGGCTATGCTCGGAGTTTCTCTGCGTGATCGAATCAGAAATGAGGAGATACGCAAGAGAACTAAAGTCACCGACATAGCCCACAGAATTGCAAACCTTAAGTGGCAATGGGCAGGGCACATTGCTCGCAGGACCGATGGCCGCTGGGGCGGAAAGGTCCTCGAGTGGCGACCGCGTACCGGGAAACGCAGTGTTGGCAGGCCCCCCACAAGGTGGACCGACGATCTGGTAAAGGTCGCGGGAAGCCGCTGGATGCGGGCAGCATGGGACCGATCGCTGTGGAAATCCATGGGGGAGGCCTATGTCCAACAGTGGACGTCTTTCGGCTGATGATGATGATGATGATTCATTATTGTCTTTATTATTTTAGTGTTGATGGGTCGCCATGGTATCCCAAACCTGACGACACAATTTGTAGTGAACATTTTATGGGAAACAAAAAATCAGACGAGGAAGAAAATCCGAGTTATGCTCCTACGATATTCCCTGAAATATATCGAAAGAGGAAGGTTAATGATTCACAGGTCCTAGCTAGATATACACGCTTGACAAAACGAAGAACCACAAAAGTCTCAGATACCACATCAAGTCAAATAATAATTGAAGAAGGGAGTGAATTAAATCAAACTCAACCTTTTATGATCGATCAAGGATGTCAAGTCAATATGTTTTCTGAATCGAAATTAAGAGATACAACTTTTATTTGTATTAGATTAATTTACAGTGATCACTGTGATGCTGAAATCCAACATCAAGAATTTTAATGACAAATAATTCAAGAAAGAAAGATAAAAGCTGTGGCACTGACAAAAAATCGTATGAGGATCAATCTACCGAAACAAAAAGTCAAGAATTTGTTGGTATTTCATCAATAACAAATGATCAAGAACTCCTAGATCCTTCTGGTGTGTCATTTAGCAATTTTGAGTTTTTATTAACAATATTAACTATGAGAAAATGTACAGTTTCCACTAAAGACCGACTTCTGATTTTTTTGATAAAAATGAAAACTGGCTTGACATTTTCAGCATTGAGTGTGTTATTTGGTGTACAAAAAAACCACAATCTCACGTATATTTCATTCGATCTTACAAAATCTAGCTTGTTCAACTGCTAATTTAATCTTTTGGCCGAATAGAGCCACCGTACAAGCACCAATGCCCAAGTGTTTCAGTCCAGATTACATCAATACAAGAGTTATTATTGACTGTACTGAATTCCGAATTGAAATCCGACATTATTTAAATTATTATACAATATATAATAATTTTTATTTATCTTTACCTTACTATATTTACTAGAAATCAATAAAATACAAACTGATGTCATTATTTGGCATAATCCCGGAAAGTTGCGCATTGTAGGTGGCGCTACTGTCGTGCACATAGCGAATACAATATTTAAATATGAATCAATATAAATCTTATTATATTAAGTGGACTTCTAAAGAGCAGTACGTTTGTGTGTGGAAATACCTAGAGGAGGCCTATGTCCAGCACCCATGACCTACACACAACCTCATTTATCAATAAGTTGTTACATTCATACAAAACTATAATTGACAAATACGGAAATTAAAAAAAATGATTTTTCTATATTATGATTATTATATACTAGCTGTGCCCCGCGATGTTACTCACGGTTTATAAGGGATATTTTCCCGCAGTAACACGTAGCCTGTGTTAATCCAGGGTGTTAAAATCGCTCCAGCCGTTTAGACGTGAAGAAGTAACAAACATACACACTCACAAACTTTCGCCTTTATAGTATTAGTGTTACAATTGATGAGTATGATTCGGCTTGGGTCGCTAGTTTATGAATTTATGACATAGTTATATGAAAGTTACCTTTGACTGAGTAGGTTTAACAGAGTATCGCAAGCTAGTTCAGACCAACGGTAGTAGGATTCAGGATGCTCTTGTGACAGAGATAGCACGCAGGACACAAGGTCTAGCACCTGAATAAGAAAGAGATAGTTATATAACAAATTATTTTGTATTGAATAATAAAGATTGGTAACATTATAATGTTACATCATAATAAGCGATTCATCTCAAGTGATAAAAGACCTAGCACCTGATGCCTGCATTTTACTTGGCTATTCGTATTTGCTATTTGTAATAAGGATTGAAAAGGACAGACTGATGTCAAATTTACAAATTGTAAACACGAATAGCCAAGCGATCACTTGAGAGGCATGAAAAAGAAAGGGATGGTTAATGAAAACTAAATATTTTATATTCATAACTGTAATTATTGGAAACATTTTAATGTCACAGGGGCGGTTCATCGCATTTTTTATTTTATTTTTCATTTTTATTTATTTAGGATAACTAACAACTGTGCAATATTGTACGTAATGTAGTAACACTAATAAATATATTGATGTCATTACACAACCAACACCGTTATCCACTAAAAATATATCGCAACACAGAGATTATATTTTTATAAAACATGATAAGTTTGCAATATCTATTGTACTTGCAAATCGATGGTATAACTATAAAAAAGTTACTAAAACACAATTTTTAAATGTTTGGTAAACAATCAGTAATGGATTTTTTATATTGAATAAAAGACATTGTAAACAAGTCCAAATCAAAATCAGAGAGGTTGTCATTAAAAAAGTTTATTATTCGACGTAGGGGTGCGCGTTCACCTGTTTTCGTTCTGCACTATTTGGGAAAAAATAGTTTATCAGAGATACCTATCTGATACGTTTTGAACTACTGGGAATTCGAATATAAATCTGTTTTATGAGGTCATTGCAGTCAAAATAATTACGACAGATTTTGAACAGGAAAAGACAATCAAGTAAAGAACGCCTTAAACTTAAGCAAGGTAAGGAGAATGTTTTATGGGGAAATAGGAAGTACTGACCTTACGTTGATGCATAGTCTTCTGAAGCATATAAAATAGCACCTCTTTGGTAGCTTGAGCATCTTGCTGTTGAGCTCTGCCTAATATGCTTACACCTGGTTAATTTACAATAACAAGTTAATCGTTAAAGAGTAAGTATTTAAACTATTGTTATTGGAAATCAAACCGTAGTACCTAAACATACGAGTTCACTTTTAAATCGTTAAAACTTATTAAAACTTTTGTTTTCAATTCTAGATAACTTTTTTATTATTTCAAAAATTAAACTGCTTTGTTTATATCTGAAAAAAAAATTACTTTGTGCTTTGAGCAAAGGGCACTAGTTCGAATACAGCCTGACACAAGGATAGGGTGGATTTTTTATAAGTAAAATGTTCTTAACTTAGAATATACTTAAGCATTTACCTCCCATATTGCTGAAAACCTTTACAGCGACCGGTTCCAAACCAGCTATACATTCGGAGTGTGCACCAGACGCCATGAGACCGTCGCATAGTTGTATTAACTATTACAAAACATAATTATCCCACTTGATAAAAAGTATCAATGAAAGCCATTTTCAAAGATATACGGTACAACGGAAGAGCTATTTTGAAAAGAAATGAATAAACTTCATTTAACTTGAGTTTGTACAACAAAAGTCACTTGATAAAAGTACTAACTACTAAACACGTGAGGCTATGTTATTTCATGACAGTAGATTATGGGAATCACTTACCTTAGGAATTTCAATTAACTGTTTTGTATGATGTTTTGAGGATGACAACTGGACGAGGAATGTCAAAACACTATTCACGAGATCGCAGCAGTTTCTGTGAAGAAAGAATAAACCATGATTATTGCTGTTTATCACTCTCAATACTAATATTATAAATGTGAAAGTTTGTAAGTATGTTACTCAATCACGCAAAAACGGCTGAACGGAATTGGATGAAATATGAGGGATTCTACAACAATTTTACGCAGTCAAAGTCGCGGGCGGCCGCTTGTGTTATATAACGTAAATTACCATTAATAAGGCGGGACTTTAGCATAATATTATGATCAGTCGAGAAGTTAGTGGTCAGTGACTTGTTCGAAATGTTTGTTACTTAAAACATATGCATATCATATATGAATAAAATAGACCATGTAAGTATACAAATGCTTATTCCACTTTATGATTATGACTAACCCGAATAACATATTGTTTCAAATTATAATACCAATAAGCATCAAAATACAATACACTCACGGAATCTCGTGCTGTTCCACTAAATCTAACTGCTTCAGTAGGAATCCAATGAACACTTGGTCGTGGTCGAGCATGCAGTAGTTAACGCGCAACGTCAACAGTTGATTTAGCAAGCTCAGTACCGCGCATTGCAATGGTATGTCGTTTTGCATCGTGTAACTCTAGAAATAGAGTTTATTTTCAAATGAATATTTTTAAAAGTACGAGTACTTCTAAAGTTAGTGCGGCTACTGTTTCCAATCAAAAAGATATCAGGAAAACCACACAAAAAAAAGTGAAAAAGTAAGACAGGTTAATATAACTTTTTTACTATATATATATTACGATATCAAGCGAACAAGTATAATATGACCATAAAGCCTAATTTGCAGAACATCTATGAAGCTAAACTTTTAAATTCCTTACTGAAAACATGAAATTTAATCATTATAATAAGAAAACATGTTTGATTATATAAAAGTTCCTTTTGTTTCACAGGCACAACAGTACACAAACAGTAACAGTAGGCAAATTTCAATGTTTTCGAAGTATGTCTTTAAATTTTACCAAAGCTACTTTAAGTAATTTTACATTAATAGACGTTCTGCAAATTAGGTTTTTTAACCATTTACATCATTTGCTGTTTAGGTATACTGCTGTTAGTCGTTTTGTGTTAAAGGTGGCTTGCCTTCATAGTAATTCTGCAAATTACTTTGTGATTATAATAGGAGTAAGTTTTATTCGGGGATAAAACAAAGTCAAAAGTGTTACAGTTTATCCTTACAACAAAAAATATATGAAAATTTGATACTAACTCACCTTTAAAGCCTGAATAACAACCGGTTCGAACAATCTTATATACCTTTCCAACTCCTTCTTATTAGTGCTCCATTTTCTGTCAGTTGTATTCTTAGAATAATTCTCCATGCTTATTAGCAGCCGCTTCTCTGCTATCATCCTAGGATTCTTACTGTCTAAAGACAACTTCTGACTAGCGTTAGAGCAAACACTACTCCTTCTGGAATGTTCTTCAGGGATGTGGAAGTCGTTTATCAACATAACATCCTTATAGAAACATTTGCTCACAGGAACTTCAGGTTTATCGGCTATACTTAGATGATCTGAGTATTGACTAATCAAATTAGTGCCGAACAGACATTTCAACAGCTGAGTAATGCAGTATACTGTTAGGTCAGGGCATAGTGGCATAATTACTCTGAGATAGTAAAGGATTTCTTCGGTGACGACACCGAATTCTTTCTCTGTAGCTAGTTCTAGTTGAACCGCGAGGCAGTTCAGAACTATGGTCAGAAATCCGTGGAACATACTGGATTTGGGGTCCAGATTTATCTGAAATAGATTAAGATAAGTCACAGTTTTTTGTTTGGTATTTTAACGATATCATGGGAAAAGGAAACGTTTTTTCTAATTGCAAACTAAAACCAACCTTATGATTGGAATACGTCGCCCTCAAGCTTTCATAGAACCTCATATAGAAAGGCTCCGTGAAGAAATGCCCAGCGAAATTGGACTTCAGAGTGTTCACTGGATTAGGAGGTTTCTTCCTGAGGGAACCTTTTTCATCGAGTGCCTCATTCAAATTGCCACTTTTGCGCTGTATAGAATCTGCAGAATAAGCTTAATATAAGTCAACCTTCGATGGTAAAATATACTTGAAAACTCAACAATTCGAGATATAAAAATCTATTATTATAAGATCTTATACTACTAAACACTCAAGTGTACATTATACAATTCCTAGATGACGAATTACACTTGAAATATCTATAATTTGTTATGCACTGTGTTCACTAAATAATGAAGTCTTACAAAAGTTAAATGCTTTAAGCATTTAGCATTGCAGTTAAGCATTGACATTTTCACTTTTAAGTTACGCCCAACTCACAAGCGACGCGACGCGTCATGATATCCGGTGTTACACCTGTAGCAAATTCATCTCTATTTTCTCAATATTAAGGTATTCACTTATTCGAAGCACGCTGCACTTTGACCTGAAACTTGGTATTAAGCACTACTTAATACCAAGTTTCAGGTTTTTGTCTGTAGCAAATTCAATTCTATTTTCTCACTGTTAAGATATTTCCAAAGCGAAAAACATGACGCGTGAGACAGTGTGAGTCGAGCCTTAGAAGCTTTATTTATATCAAGCAAGATCAAGTCCAAAGTCAGGTCAAGAATAAGAGAATATTACAATTTTAGATAACTTCACTTATGACGACTGATATTACCTTGTGTTTTCCTCCTGACAGGACTGCCGGGTAAAGCAATGCCACTCTTATTTAGATGTACATTAGGATTAACTTCTTCTATCAAGTGGACTAGCACGTTCAACATCTTCAACGTAACTTGCAGGAACTTCTCGGCTAAACTGGCGACCTTTTCATTGTCTAGATGCAACCATCTGTCTTTGGTAGATTGTGAGTCGCGTTCAAATATATCTCGATTGTTAGTTTTGTGGCGCATTATGTTATGGATCTCAACTGCAATTTTTTTAATGATATTTAACCATTTCTATTCTTACACAAGTGATTAAATAGAAACGTATAAACGTACATTTTGTATGAAATTTTAGACCCCTTACAATTTATTGGTATTACGTCATAAGGTTAGTCAGGAGTTCAATACGAGTTTTAAAAAACAACGTTCTGCAAAAGCTTCAACATTTTTTAAAACCCTAATTTTAAACATCTAGTTTCAGGTACACTATTTTACCCGCTTAAAGGCAAAACTTCATAAATTTGTCTGAGAAAAGAACGATTCCGATAAACTAAGAAAATAAACCAATAACAGCAATAAGGTAAACGTTTATTTTTCAAAGCGAACTAAAGCTTTCAAGAGATTGACTTGATTTTTGGTCAACGTGGTTGCTTAATTTGGGGAATAAAATGATCTTTATACAAAACTTTATTTACGTACCTGGATAAACGAACGCGCACAGATCCAACAGCACAGTCCTGGCAGTAACTGTTTCATTGCAATAGTCCAAACAATCGAGACAGTAGCTCAGTATACCTTGATCGGAATACGCTTCTAGATTCTTCCATGGAGAGTATCTTCGACAGATCGCTTGGAGGGTCTCCATAAGACCTTGCTGATGATAATGTTAAAGTTCAAATTAAATTAATAATCCTTTAATGACCAGTCACAATAATCAACCTCCAGTAAAAGGTAAGGATAATCTATAATTCAGTTTCTTAGGCGGCCCGCACACCAGACATACAAGTGTATTACAATAATTGTGGCGTTACATTTGAAACGCGACACATTTATCGCCCTCATATTTCTGCTAGTAAGCACGCACACCATGGGCACATTTGTAGCGGGTGCATTTAGTAGCGAGACAGAAGCAAAAATGTAGCGTTCATATTGTGGCAAGGTAAATTTTTCGTGCATGTATCCTGTGGCAAGGTAAATGTTGCGTGTATGTACCATGTAGCTTCGGCACGGCATGGCCTCACCTAACGGTAGGAATTTATAACGATGCGTCGCGCGAGTGACGGGGGTCTGCATGAGTTTGATTATTGAAACTGATTATTGAACTATTTTTACGTGGAGTTCTGTCGCTAAGATAACTGATGCAACAGAAAAGTGCGTCAAAAGAAGTACTATGATCAAATGGTACGGAATCTTTTGTGTGGGAGTCCAATTCGCAGAAAACTGGTTTTTGAGGATCATTTGACACTTGACACTTGAATAGGTTATGAAAATCACGCATGAAGCCAATAAACCCCAACTGAGGCTGAAGAGACCAATTTTCTCTGCTTATCCCTCTCTAGCAGAAACTCGGTGCAAAGTGGTTAAACTACAATCATTTGCAAAGCTCCGGTATAAATGGCAGAATATTATCTCTTCGTAATCTGTTTTACGAAGCTTTAATATTCTACCTATGTATAATACATCGCCAGATGACTCTATTTTAATAAAAAGTATAACTTCTAATAGATAATTAGCTACTCTTAATCGAACACATATTAACTTCAGGACATCTACTCTTTGAACATTAGCATGTGTATCTTTATTTACTAATGGAAGATTTGCGGAAATACCATACCAGTTTTGTAACTTACCGAATAAGATTTACAATTTGAAGTCATCAGCTTAGACATCAAATCGGCGATGAATATTTTCAGACTACCCTCATTCAACATCTCGCCAATCTTGAACTGCCGAGGCAGTTCGTTGTAAAAGTACATATCTCTGACTAACTCTAGAGACAACTGCTTGTGGTCAAAATTGAAATGGTCGCTGTGTCTCTTTGCTATTTCCGTTGCCATCGTGGTGGGGGTGTGACGTCTTGAAGGATACAGTTTTGAAATTATGCTGTAAAATTACAATCACTCTGGTAAATCCTATCTGATGCCTAGTCCGAGTGGATTTTTTTCTAGAAAAATTTTCTTTAGGTTTATAAATCTAGCAGTTTAATACTAAAAATAACAATAAATTTCTCTGGTCAAAACATTAAATATCTGACTAACGGTTTGTGCAACGATAGTAATCCAGCCATTGTGTGAGAGAGTATTCCCTCAGTGTCAGCATAAGCTGAGACAGGGTCCTGATTGGCCGTCTTAGTTTTAGATTATTTTTTGTTCTTAGGTTAAGTTTTCTTTTGTTTTTCTGTTTTTATTAGTAGTTTTTTTTTTATTGTATATAAGATGGCCAATAAAGGTTTTTCATTTTCGAAGGTTTTTCAATTGCACTAAATACCCTGAGTTTGATACTCGTTTATATATGTTATGTATACAAAGATTTGTGATGTATTCGCGTGAAGTCGCCTTTAAATATTCTACTATATATACCTTTTAAGGAATCATGAAACATAATTTATACTCTGAGGAGCTCGATGGCGCAGGTGGCTAGCGCGTTCGGCTGCGATCGTTGAAGTTAAGCAACTTTCGCAGTGGTCGGTCATTGGATGGGTGACCAAAAATTTACTATCTCGAGCTCCTCCGTGCTTCGGAACGCACGTTAAGCCGTTGGTCCCGGCTGCATTTGCAGTCGTTAGCACCCACCAATCCGCACTGGGCCCGCGTGGTGGGTCATGGCTCAATCTCCCTATTCCATCCATAGGGAAGGCCTGTGCCCCAGCAGTGGGGACATTAATAGGCTGATGATGATGATGATGAATTTATACTTTATTGCAATTGTACGTCCATTTATCGTTAAAGTTTTTTTTTTGTGTGGACATCTTTTTTTTAACAACAACATTACGCACGTTACAGGAATAAACATTTCCTAAAAATAAATTAAGGCGTGTTATGGGATGCTAGGGTAAAGGGTATAATACATATACTGATACATATATCAGTATATTTTGACTAGAAATATTTTAAAACATCAATTGACTAAGGTACAAATGCTCGTATTCATTATACTAACATTTGCCTCCACCGGGTCCCGAACCCGAAAACCTCAGACTAGGCGACGCCATGAAACCCGGCGTATATACCACTATGCCACTAAGGTCGTCAAATAATGCGCAAGTATTCCCTCCTTCCTACAATCTGGGGTCCTGTAAGAGTGGCGTGAAGAAGCACTTTCGCAGGCCGGCTAAGTGAGGATGGTTGGTGTGGCAGTTTATAACTGACAGCAGTTATAAACCAGCTATCTTCGCGTTTGGACTTTATCACCACTTAACATCAGGTGGGGTCGAGACATTTGCATAACTAGCTATATAAAAAAAAATACTGTACTCACTTGGCTATAGTCTGTGACGCAGCATTCCTCACTTTTTGGTCTGGATCACCTAGAAGGCGTACCAAGGCGTCCAGTATCATCTTACCTTTGTGACGGTAGTTCTCATATAACATAAACAATCTGCAAAACAGTAGAAATTATTAAATATTCTATATGTAACATTATATCATTTTAATAAAGCCAACTTATTGATATTTCATAAACTTTAAAGGGTAATAAGAGCCGTGTTTCCGTTTAACACTTTATTAAATTATTTGAGGCTAATCCAGTAATTAAAACGATATTGACAACAATACAATAAAATTATGTATTATACCTTAAATAACACGATAGATATTCTTCGCACAAATATGGAAACTATACAGGGCGTCCCACGGCTACCTCACACAGAGGGAAAGTATATTAAATATTGGAGATAGGTTATTTTACTGAAAGAAGACATCATTTTATTTTTAATAATAACTAGAACTGCATTCACAGTTTTTTTTTTAAATTGCCTGCTACAACTGGGAATAAAACTCGTGAAATTTCGAAAAAAAGCACGACATATTTTATGATAACCATCGAAAGAGTTAATCATAAGGATAATTTTTTGCTAAATAACATAGCATGTTTAATGAAAGAAATGTCATTAAATTTAAAATTTTATGTAAAATTATTTAGCACAAACTAATATGAAAACGAAACAGAAAAAAATAATGTCTGGACGAAATACGATTATTATGCGGGTTGTACATATTAGATAACCAGCGAGATCCACAGATCTAACCTCACTGGACTTTTTTTTGTGGGGTTATGTAAAAGATATAGTATACAAGAACCGGTACGACAGTGTGCAGGAGTTACAAAATGAACTCAGACGTATTATTACAATCATTCACCACGCAAAGATAATGAAATCGACAGGCAGAGAAATTATTAAAAGAGTGCGAGTTTGCAAACAACAAAATGGATCACATTTTGAACATTTGATAAATTAAATTATTTTTATTTTTGCTTGCACCATTTCATTTTTATAATAATTTGTGTTAAGTAATTTTACATAAAATGGTAAATTTAATGATTTTTCTTTCATTTAAAATGCTATGTTAATAAGCAAAAAATAATCCTTATGATTAACCCTTTCGATGGTTAACACAAAATACGTCATGTTTTATTTTTCAAAATTTCACTAGTTTCATTCCCAGTTGTAGCAGGCAATTTAATAAAACCGTGAATGCAGTTCTAGTTGTTATTAAAAATAAAGTCTTCTTTCAGTAAAATATCCTATCTTCAATATTTAATATACTTTACCTCCGTGTGAGGTAGCCGTGGGACGCCCTGTACACTATAGAAAGATTTGGCTTAAATCTTGTTTGAAACTAAATCGTAAGAACTAATAACAACGCTAATGCAATAAAATAAAGAAAGAGAAATCTTATTAAACGAAAGTATTGTCTTTGTAAAATGAACCTTACTAACTTCTCATACGGCAGCTTTTCGTACAGCTTACACAAGTTGACTCTGCACAGCCAGTAGCCGTTATTCTCGACAGTTATTAGAGCGTTCAACGCATCCCCTACTAAGGGCCAATGCAAGCTATTGCAAAGGGCAGGTGTGATGTTTATTAGACTTGAGAGCGTATGGTTAACCGTGGAATGTATATCGTCTGAAAGACCCTGAAAGGTAATAGTTTAGTTAGCTAAAAATGCTATCATACTGTTGCACTTAATAAAGCATCAAATAATTTTATGTAAATCAATTAATAAAGAGCTTGATGGCGCAGGTGGTTAGCGCATGAGTTCTGCGATCGTGAAAGTAACTTTCGCAATGGTCGGTCATTGGATGGGTGACCAAAAACTTTTATCTTGAGCTCCTCCGTGCACCGAAAGGCACGTTAAACCGTTGGTCGCACTGGGTTCACGTGGTGTCTTTCTATTCCATCCATAGGGATGGCCTGTACCCCTGCAGTGGGCACATTAATAGGCTAATGATGAAGATTATGTTGATTTATGTACAATCAACAAAATCTTATAAATTAAAGCTTACCTTCAGAATAATCGCCACCAATTTATCAGTACTTATATGCTCACTGACATCCTTAGGTAGACTGCTGAAATTCCTCCATCTATGGTAATCGCCATGGGAAAGGCTTAAAGCGGCGGTCAAATAATTGCCAATACACAATCTAACCAACCCCCTGATTTGAGGGTCATTGTGGCCCTCCAACAGAACGAAAACATCGGACATATGCTGGAATTCGAAACTTTTATCGTTGTCCAAAAGTTCCTCACATTTGACGCTTTTTTCTATTAAACCGTCGGGGGCGTCTTTGCTGTGAACTTCGTCAGTACGTTTCAATGGCCTTTTCACTCTTTCCTCTCGTTTCTCTAAGTCTTTTAGCGCATCTAAGTTATCCAAATTCGTTGTAGACTCCCCGAAATGATCGAATTTCATATCCAAATCGATGCTGGAGGATAAAACATCGCCACTACTGGACATAGGATAACCAGTCGTCGGGTCATTACTCCCAGTCATATTCGAATTCGTGGTAAAATTGCTGTTCGTCATATTAGTGTTTGGGATACTGTCGCTTATCTCGCTAGCAATAAGATCGTTTTTCGCGAACACTTTGCTGTCTAAAATCGCACTTTGCACGTCTTTGGAGGAGCTCTTTTGTTCGACGCTATCTTGTGACTTCTCTAAAGATTTACTATCCTTCTTCGAGACAGGGTGCGATGAAGGTTGACTGTCAAGGCTGCGGTTGAGCAAGTCCTGGCTCAAGGAATCAGTGAGCGAATCTTGGTAGCATACGTTCCTTTCCAATATGAAATCGTTGATGTGATCCTGATTCGAATCTGTACCCTCTGATGATCCTAAATTAAGAAAAAGTGTTTCTTGTATGACTGAATAAGTAAAACAAATGTATTGTAAAACACTGATACATAAAATATACAAATTCCAAACATATTTGAAAGTTAAGACGCGGTATCTAACGAAATATTTGAGAAAAAATGTCTTTAATATTTCTCAAGTGTTCATATTAAAGTGGTGTTTTAAAACTCACCAGAAATATTGTGTATTTTGACGTCGGCGTCTTTGTCTAGATAAATGGTGATCGCTTGAGGATATATTCGGAGTATTTCCGCGAGACAACTCAATGCGGTCGACTTTACAGAAACTCTGACACACCTATAAAGGAAAATATAATGGTTAATCTGATAGAAGACTACAGTCGAAGTCGGATTACAATAATAAATTCCGAAAAACGGACAATTGCATTAGCATTAGCAAATTGTTATTATTGTATTGCTTAAATCCAGTTTCAGTTAAATATTTGCATTAAGTTAACCAAACACGTTTCATGGAAACTAAATTAGTTTATGAGTCTCCGATATTTCGGCACTATTGCAAGCGCCATGATCACGGAGTGACTGAATTGTTTTTAAAAAATAAAGTAAGTATTGTGTGTCGGGAACAAGTGCGAGTGAATAGTGAGAATGTGACCAGTGGTAAGGGTATCGAGCGCAGTAAAAGACGACGTCAGAGGGTAGACCGATATGTCTGCCAATAACATCTACCCGCAATTACTCCAGTTACTCCGTGATCATGGCGCTTGCAACAGTGCCGAAATATCGGAGATTCATAAAAAACAAGGTACATGGTAACAATCCAGTTTATTCCTTATTTTATTTATAAAATTGAGTAAAGTTTTAGGGTTTCACGAGGTTGGATAGTTAGGATAGGCAACGACAGGAGTGATATCTGGTATCGCTAGCGTCTATAAACTTCGTTGGCCTCTTACAGTCTGGCGAGCCATAATTATATTTGTTTAACACTCTTTATCTTAAGTTTTCACTTTTACAACAAAATTGCTTTTTTGCTGATAAAGATTTATAATAAAAACTAAAATAAGTCGATTTGATTGCACTCAAGCGTATTATATATGTTATTACCTGTCTGATATTAAATCGCCTTTATTGCCGGCAAGTAAATATTTAGAAGCGAGAAGTCTTGAACAGTATTTCAAAGGGACATCGTCATCACTAGAACTGCCAATATTTATCTGGAAAAGAAGTTAATCTTAATTATTTACAACTCACACTATCATGCACAAAAATATATTAACGCTAATATACTAGGAGAATAAAAAGCTAACCTTTAATTTTTAAAGCTAATATGATTTGTCACAGGTTTGCTCGTTGCACCAAAGCTGTCAAAAACTTTTTTAAAGCATATTGCCACTCCCTATACACATGTGGCCTGTGGACAAACTACACCCAAGTGGCGTACAGGGCCTTGTGCACTCAGTATTTGCAATCAAAATGAAAAATATATAAGCAATCAAAATGCAGTTCAATAATTCATGTATATCTAATCATTATGTAATGACTGGTGACTTCATGAATCATGTCTGAAGTCATTTTTCAACTTGACGACTGTATACATAAGAAAACAGGGAGAAAAAACAGCACATGCTGCTTTTTTCTCCCTGTTTTCTTGCCGGTTCTTACGTAGATTTACGAACGGAGTTTCTAGACATTCATAAGTGTTTGTAACATCCTAAACTGAATAAATGATTTTGATTACAATCATAATGCGTACAGGGGGCTGCTGTTGCCACGACACTGCAGTCCGTCAGGAATGCTATGCTAGGGATGCTAGGTATGCAGCACTGGACTTGCTTCCAGCTTGCCAAAGACACTAAGATTAACTATTTGTACTTACACAGTTTAAGATTACTATTACCAACACTATGGACTTTAGTTTCCGAAATATATACTTTTTTTTTATTTCATAAAGCATGTTTCATAACCAGACTCAGAGAGGTCAATTTATATTGTCATTTGAATTAAGCTGTCAGGGTACTTGCTTTATAGGACAGAATATGACTTTGACCAGTTTTAAATTTAATTGGAGTTTCTAAGCGTTGTGTCTATTTTTAAGGTCGCATAATTGTTTTGATTTATTAAATGTTTGGAAAAAACCTTAGAAAATTTAAACAGCAATCATACATGCTTATTTAGGATTGTCAATATGCAAGAATACTTTGTCAATATAATAGGTGATTTCTCATCATAAAAATACGTACAATTTAAAGCATTAATAAAATTAATTTCTAATCCGATTTTAAAAAACAACACATAAAGTTCCAAACAATATGAACAAATATAATCCTTAACCTAAAGCCATAAAGTCTACATTACCTTAAAAGCAGTTTCGACCCCAGCGTGATCAATTTGGTCTCCCGCTTCGCTCTTTTGTTCTTCTTCGTATTCTTGCAACTTTTCTAACACTTCTTTGGTCAGCTCTTCAGCTGAGGGCAGATAAATGTCTGCTTCGCTTACTGGCGTATCTGGCGTCTAAGAAAATCGTTTGATACTTTATAGAACATTTAATCTAGATTATATCTTATTTTTTTTAAATGGCAAATTTTGTAATTCATTGTTATATCAATCGGTGAGTATTTAAGAACGAGGTACATTAACAAGGGGTCACAAAATGAGGCATCTAAGGACAAACGCACCACTGTTCCCCAATCAAAACACTTTCAAGCGTTTAACATGAGGTTATCTTAATTAAATTAAATAATAATGATGCTTAAGACAAGGCATGAAAGCTTATTGATAGGAGTTTGTTAACATGTGACATTACTCTTTATAGAGCCACCCCTTTGTACGAGTTTTCACTTCCACTAGATTGGAAAGAGTGAAGTATCGACAGAATCCTCACATTACGCCAAGTAAAAGTCTCTGAATTATTTGAAAAAGAAAAACAAAATACCGCCATTTTGGACAAACTTAAAACCCTTACCTGTATACTTAAATCATCAACGCTGAGACTCGGCGTGTTGAGTTGTAGTAAGCTGCCGAGTTGCAGTTCACCCCTGAACGACAACTCGAGCTGGTCACGAGGCTCCGACCCTGGACTCGGAATGTACCGTGCCGATATCACACTTGTGGAACCTAGTAAAGAGAGACATAGTAGTCAAGCATAGAACAGCAGTTGCCATAGGGAAGATATTCTATTTTGTTCGCCAGTTTGACTATAAAAAAATAAAGAGCACTAATTTTTTCTTCTGTCAATCAACCATATAATAACAAAGATAATAAGCATCAAAGTTTTGGATGGGACTCGTGACGTCACTTCTAAGTAAAAATTGTACCAAGACATTTAATGCGATATTTCAAATATCTGTGTACTGTTTTGATTACGTGTAAATAAAAAAAATCCGTGTCCAATACTTTTTCATAATCTACCTGATTTGCGATCGTGGAACCTAGCAATGAGAGATATTGTTGTCAAGCATAATTATAACAGCAGCTGCCGCATTGCAATTCGTCTCTGAACCACAACTCAAGCTGCAGTGCTTATGATATTTTTTAACATTTTTTGCAACAATTCGCTGGTGTGATTTGACATTTGAAATTCGTGTTCTAAATTTAAATCACACCACGGGTTCCTTGGTGAGAAGTGAGTTGTTCTCACAGAATAGCACTCTGCTGGCTCCAAGCCTAGACTTATGTAGAATGTACAGAGTCGATATATCACTATGAAATATTTTACTGCGCCGTCTGGTTTGCTTTAAATCATGCAGATTATTTGTTCATAATAATTTATTAAAGGATGCAGATTTGGTTTTTTAAACTCCTAAAAATAGTGGGTGAAATAGACAGGTAAAGTTACTAATTTTATACATGGCGCTGAGCAACATTTTACAACGCTGTTTGGTTTTGTTTTATTAGACAGTATTGTACGCATATCGATGCATTAAGTACTTCCTTTTTAATATTATAAATGCGAGTGATTTCGAAAAAGGTGCGTAGGCAAATGGCAATAGCGGTGTCTTAAAAAAATACCTAAATAAATTATTCGCTCTGCTTCAGTGGAAAAAGTATTAGCGGAGTTGAGAAGAATAACATTAAAATGTATAGTGGAGTTAAGCTGGGCAGAGCGGATCGTTGTCATGATGAGCGAGGCAGAGCGGCGCTACGCTAAGCGAAGTTGAGCCGAATGGAGCTGTTGCATTGCTCTATTCAATTTATATAATTTATATTTCCAACACTCACACCAATTATCCTAGCCCCAAAGCAAGCACTGTAAGGCTTGTGTTATGGGATACTAGGGTAACAAATAGAATACATATTACACATCCATAAGTGAAGTACAAATGCTCGTGTTCATCACATGAACATCTGCCCCCACCGGAATTCGAACCCGGGACCTCTCGAGTCGGCGACACCATGACACCCGGCGTATAAACCACTCGGCCACGGAGGTCGTCGTCAATTAATTAACTGACTGCAAATAAAATGCATTCACAGCTCCACTCAGCTCAGCACGGCACATATTCATACAGCTCCGGATTTGTGGAAACGCACCATAAATGTGTACATATTTGTCAATATTTACAATCATGAATACAAAACAATAAAGTTCGCTCGCTGAGTTTCTAAAATCATGAGCTATCCTGTTTTATTACCCTCGCTTAAGCTCTAATTGAAACTAAGTGCACCAGTAACATTATGCGAAATAAAATGACCAGCGTAATGAGAAGGTATACAACATAGTACATAAAATAACAGCTTATGTCTACGGATTTAATTGAACAGCAATCAGAATAGATTTACAATATCAACATTACCGCGAGCGAAGCCGCGGGCAAAAGCTAGTGTTAAAATATTAGAGATCGCAAAAGCACTAAATTAACTTACAATAAAGAAAAACTATAGAAAATATTTTAAAACTGTTACTTGCTATACACAACATATATGAACTACGCAATGAGAAGGTATACGGAGTACATAACAACATCTGTAAATAAAGCTCAACTTTGTGGCCATGATTGTATCAACCAAGTACAAGAAAAGTTAATAAGAGATGTTTAATAAGGAATCCTCAGTTCCTGGCGAGGCAGAACCAACAGTATGTTTTTTTTTACTTTTTGCAAGTATTATGTCTCCTCATGACGACAGATCAAATTGAATCAGAATCAGCATTGGTTTACAAAATCAACATATCCATGAGCGAAGCCGCGGGCAAAAGTTAGTGTTGTAATGAAAGAGATGGCGGAAGCGATTTAAAAAACACACACTAGAGAAAATATTATAAGGTACTCATTTTAATCTATATCTGTTATTATAATAATATGAAAAACTTACTGATATTCCTCCTATGTCCTTTCCCGCCTTGTATCTCATCCAAAGATATTGCGATGGGATGTTTCTCAACCAAAGCTTTCCTATATTCCCCAGAAGCTTGCGATAGAAGTACAGTCAGGCATTCAGTAACCGCGTTCTGTATGTTGTGGTCGTTTTCGGTTTGTTCTATATAGTGTACGCAGAGTAGGTATAGCTGAAATCAGTAATCATTATCAAATCATGGTTGTCATAATAAATTATAGTTATAATTTTTATTTTTTAAGTATGTAACTGCTCAATGTTTTAATCTAAAGAAAATATTACTAGAAATAATTCCACGCGGACCAGGCAGCAGACGGGACTGGAAACCGCACCCTTCGCTAACCGAGCGAATGCACTGACCAATTATGCTACCGCGTCCCTGACGGCCGTGTCGAATTCTTTTTAGCCTTTCTTAAGCTGCAAGGCAGCGCCTTCTCTTCGCATTGCAGGTGCAATTATAATAGGTCAGTGTATGCACCCGGTTAGCGAAGGGTGCGGATTCCAGTGCCATCTGCTGCCTGGTCCGCGTGGATTTTATTATTTTAATATTTTCTTAAAATTAATTATATTACACTGTGTAATTGCGGCACTTCGCTTGATAACAGTCTCTCCTTTTCTTTCCCCTTAAAGTATGATTAGCCCCCCTTATACGAATAGGCATATGCAGGGCTAACAAAACACGGAAAAATATTGCATAGTAAACATATACAGGATGTAGAAAACAATAGGCAAATATACTACATGAATATATCTCTCTACTAATTCATAACGGAATTTGAAGATACTGCTAAAGTACTAATTGTCTAATTGAATGAAGTGTCAAATGTATACCACCACAAGTGATTGTAATAAATTAAAGTACTTTAACTTTAAATAATTTAAAAAAACGGAATGCAAAGTCGTCATTATTTTATTAATACAATGAAATACACCTAAACTTCATGCTATTTTACCAGCCGCTGTCTTATTGTTTTATACTTCCTGTATAAAGTTAATGATAGGTTTGTAACACAATGGTGTCGATTCTAGCATGATTCTCTAAACCTAAACTTAAATTTGACAGCAGTATATCCTTGTCATTCTCTATACAGAATGAAAAGGAGAGACTGATGTTAAATTTAGTTTTAAGTTTAGAGAATCACGCCAGAATTGGGCCCAGTATGTACCCTATACAGTACTTTCTTACCTCTAAATAATCTTGTACAGTGAACTGTTCGTTTTCAGTGAATTTCGATAGATCGTTTAACTGAAAAATGGCTTTGATGACACAAAACCAGCCCATTACTGTCGCGTTGTCGTATGAAGTTGGCCACAATTTATCTGATAAGAAAGTTCTTGATTATTACTAGCTAAACTCTGCTGGACGTGAATGAACGAAAATTAATAGTTTATCAAAAACACGGATATTGGTTACTGAGGTCGTAATATAAGCTGTTAACGCAATGAAAGTTTTGTTGTTAGAATGATATATCACATACGAGTTCATAATACTGCCTTTGGTACTAATATTAGCTATTAGCGATGGACGAAAAACCCCATCGAAAATGGCCCTATATGGTGAAATATTATATGACTTTTAAAAGAAAATAGTTTTCACCCTAATCCTTCTAATTGGAGGAATAAATATCTCCTCTTGTCTAACACAAGCGATTATAAGCTAGGTAAAATCATATATTTCAAAACTATCTTACCATAAACTTTAGTCAGTACACTGGTGAGAAGCGTTTCTCTGTGGGAGCACAGATGAGCGACGCACGATGACACCCCCCTTCTTACGGCAGGCTCAGATGATTCGACGTGAGACAGTAGCGACTTTGACAACTCTGGGAGGAAAAGACGAGCAAATTTTATTTATAATTTCATATATCCTATGCTAAATGGAATAATGGAGTCGATTCTGGCATCATCCTGTAAACCTAAAATTTAATTTGACAACAGTATATCATTGTCATTCTGTATACAGAATGAAAAGGAGGGAATGGATGTTAGTTTTAAGTCTAGATAATCATGCCCGAAGACACCACTGACTGATTAGAATTTAAGTCATACAGTCAAAAGCTTGTGTTGAAACCTTTCTATCAGATTCCATTCTTGTGTATATTAACACGATATAGCTGAAATATTGATTAAACCTCACTTTAGAATTAGGTACGCAATGGAGATCAAAGTGCTTATAAATCAGTATATTTTTTCAATGTTAAAAAGTTGGTAAACAAACTTATGACCTGCATGATGGTATGCAGCCATCTTAACCTATTGGACTCTTGGGATATCAAAAATATCACTAGCACCATTGCCTACCCCTACCCCGTGGAGCCCTGGAAAATTACCCAACAAAAGAGACCCAACACCACCAATGGCAAGTGATATTTTACTGTGGTCGTTTGTAAGGATGAGGTTACTTTCCCAGAAAGGTGCTCCAATTCTGGAAATTCGCTATGGCCTACCTCTCTTAACATCATCAAGTAAATGATTTGTAAATGTCAGATTTACAAAACATTTGCTTGATTATATTACTATCATGTCAATTTTTATACTTGATGTTTAGTGGTATTGATTATTAATTCTACAGAATTCAAGGCTGGCTCTCGTTAAGTCAAGCAGAACTAAAATGTTTAAAAAACAATACTGCAAGTTTCGACAGATTACTTTACCTGAAATCTCTTCATCTGTTGTATATTCCACCAATGCTGTCAAAATCCTCGGTAGGTTGTTCTCTAAAGCTTCCAAAATAAGTTGGATTTCCTGTGTTTGTTGCACAATCTGACTTAGTTTCGGGAACAGGATCTGAGCTTGGGACCGAATCTTGCCAGGGCCAGGTCTAAGCCAGCAGTCTCCGAGGCATACGCGAGCTAATGCAGAGCGTACCCATCTATGATGAAATTACAACATAAGAAATTGAACATAGGTATCTTATATCAATAGTACAAAGCGTAGCAAAGGAAGAGAGTAGCCACCATACAGTTTTTGCTTTTATCAAAGTATATGATCATTTTTGTTTTATGGTCACCACAGTCGCACTTCAGCAGTGCTTATATTGGCTAGGTGCCTAAGCACTGCATATGGTCTATTAATCACTGCTGTGGCACAGATTTTCCCTAATGATGGGAAAGGGAGATGGGCCTTGACCCACGCTACAGGCCCAGTGCAGATTGAGATTTAGCGTATTGGTACGACGACGATAGCAGATGCAGGCTGAACCAATGGTTCAAATTGTCTTCCATGGAGGAGCTCAAGATAATACATTTTCTGTAAGACACCTTAATGTTATATTTTATAGTAAAACTAAATAAAAATATTGTTTTATTAGCAACATTCATATATGTAAAAAAAATAGAACTGGTTGAATTAAATGCTTGTCAAAACATGTATGTAGGTTAGTGTGGTACACCTGTTAATCTTCGAGATAGATTCATGGGTGGACCTGGAGTCCTGTAATACAGGGTCGCCCCAGTTTAATCCTCAGATCATACACTTTCTGATACATATAAATAAAATTGTAATTGAGCTGTTTTCAGCAGAAAGCCACCAATGGCCATTTTGGGATCAAACAAAATTTAAACTTATAATACAACTAATAATACCTATTGTATGATGTATGTGAGAAATAAAATATATCTTATCTTATTTGTGTTACAAACTTAATGTGTAATTACCTATTGATTTATCCATTTGGTATCAACTGTCATCAGCTAATGAGTTTGCCAGTTAGACAGCACACTATTTAGCAAATTTAATCTTTGAAAATGATGTGGTTAGCATAATGGTAAGTGATCATAGAAGTTTAGCAACTTTCACAGTGAAGAGTCATAAGATAGGCGACTGAATAATTTATCATCTTGAGCCCCTTCATGCTCCAAAGGCTTGTCAAGAAGTCAATCCCAGCAATGGAGACATTATGACATTAATAAGGTGAAGATGATGAATCTGTTAAAAAAATAAGAAATATGAGATATTTTTACAATACCTTGCACTTTTGGTGTGGTCGATGAGATTCTGTAAAATTATATTGGTCTTGTAAGAGTGGAATGCAAAACCTCCCACAACAGCCCTGTTCAGCGCTTCATCACCAACTAGGCGAACTTCAGCCTGCAAAATACAAGACATAATAGCCACTTTATGACACAATAATATTTTCTTTGTATACAGACCATTTTCCAGCATGTGTGTTGAACTTTTTATAAGAAAACTTCTAGCCAGCACATAAGAAAAACCTTAAGACCTTACAAAACCATTACTTGTACTAGCACTCCACTTTACATTAAATGGAAGATGAATCAAAATTAATAATGAATAAACTATTCTATAATTTACAAATAAATACTAGAATAAATATAAATAATGAGAGAAAGAAAATATGATCATGATTCTGTTCAAATAAAATTTTCAAGTACACCATCAACAAAAGAAAAAAGTTATAAGGTTTTCATTATTACATGTAATTCTTGAAATGTTTTTAGGTTATCATTGTTATTTATTGAGTACGTAACTTTGAAGTTTGGTTGTTAAATATTTTTAGTATATTTGAGTGAATACACAATGGCTACTACTTACGCTATTGTTGCTTGCTAAAGCAAGCAAAGTAGGTATCGCGGTATGTAATAAATTTGCATAATGTCTAGCGCAATTTGGGCGACTACCAAGGGCTCCTAGACATCTCCCTAACGTCCCGGCTGCTGCTTGAAGCTCATGGCCCCTGTAAAACACCGTAATGTTATATTTTATAATAAAACACTCGGACACCATGAAATTATCTGTAATATTTACAAACTCACTTAGCAGATCCTTCGTTGTTTTTTAAATACTCTAATGCTTTTTCTGCCTTTTCCAACACATTCATGATGTTAAATAATGAATGTTGTAGTAATTAGGGACAAAGAAGGCATATTTACTGCGAATTTGAATTGAAAAACAGTTCTGCGTTTCCAGAAAATGCAAAATCAATTTCTACTTGTTGACTTTACTGACTTTGACATAAGCACAGAATACTGGAGATAGTGATCTGATATCGATTATAAACATTATGAACAAATAACGGATTTTTCGCCTGAAAATCAAGTAGCATTGCACCAATTCAGTGAATAAATATTTTAAATCATAATTTATCAGTTTGTCTAAAGATGAAACTATTTATTTATTTATCTTTGTGAATTTTTTTTTGTGCATTCAATACAATGAAATACAATATTTAGGTCAATTACATAAACTTATTAACTGTTCTCATTTAAATGATAACGGTGTCGTTTTATAGTTATAAAACATTTTACAATACTACAATCATAAGACATTACATTTCAAAAGAGGAGTTTTTAGGAATATTTAGTTGGTTAAAATGATGTCGATTCTGGCATGATTCTCTAAAGCTAAACTTAAATTTGACAACAGTGGAGTCGATTCTGGCGTGGTTTCCTAAACTTAAAACTAAATTTAACATCAGTCTCTTCTTTTCATTCTGTATAGAGAATGACAAGGATATACTGCTGTCAAATTTAAGTTTAGGTTTAGAGAGTCATTCTAGAATCGACACCTACACTGTGTCTTTGTCATTGTTTAACGTAGAATGAAAAGGACAGACGTGGGACAGACTGATGTTAAATTTAGTTTTAAGTTAAGAGAAACCTGTCAGAATCAACACCAATCACATTTTTATTTCAGAAGAAATTGATAAGACTGTTTTATAAAAACTTATTAGGTCATTAGTCTTTTTTTACATTTATATACAGACTGATAACATTAAAATGGAAGTTATTAAGATTTTTAATAAAAAAATATTATAATTACAATCTTTGGATATTGTTTTACAAGGGCGTACCCAGGATTTCAGCTAGGAGGGGGCAACTCATACCTGTTTCGAGAAGATGGTCGGTCGGGTATATTGAAACAAAAAATCATGAAAATTGACTTTTATTAATTAGTTTGATTATGACACAAAACAAAATATTAAATGTATATAATAATCATAATACACAAATATTAATTTAAAAGTAATCTTCTCGGATTTGCCGCCGAAAATTTGTCTAAGACAGTCTTTTGAATAAACTCACTGTTTTCTTTTAAATAATTGCGATGTACGCTCATCAGACATAAACCCGTAAGCCTTTCTTCACCCATGGTGCTTCTAAGTCACGTTTTAACTCTTCGAAGCGTACTGAAGGACCGTTCTACTCTCGCCGTGGTGCATGGGATAGTGCTTAAAATAATCAATGCCTTTCTGACAGCAGGGTAAAAAATATACTATCCGTGCGGTGACGGAGAAAGAATACCACTCACCGCCCCTTCACTTCCCGCGGGTGTCGTAAGAAGCGACTGAGGGATATCAGAGCTTCCATCTGCGCTTCTGGTGGCAGGGTGCCTAACACCCGCCTGGTTTGTTACCACCGTACGCATGGTGAAAAACCCGTGAAGTGCTTCACGCGCGTTTCGGGATCAACCAGCGTACAACCAGAGCTCGAGTGGAGATTGCCGCGACGGATTCGGTCCAGTGGAGGCATCCGTCGAACTGATGCCGGGAGGACTGCATCGACCCACCGGCCAGGGAGACCCGTAGAAACGGCTGTCCAGTAGTACAGCGGCCCGAGCGTTCCTAACCAGTTCGTGAGGCTACCCTATCATGGATAGGGTAGCCTCACGAACTGGTTAGGAACGCATAATCTCATGTCATGCATAATCTCGGGGTGGACAGTCGTGCCGGTTGGTGACCGGGGCGTGGGGTCCCGACGGCCACTCCCGGGGGGGTGCGGGGGCCCTTCCGTCCGGTGGGTCGGCGTATCTCTTTCTCAGGCAGTTACTCGGGAAAACGTGCCTCCACATATTTGCCTGACTTTGTCGCGACTAACTCCACTCGATTCACGTCTCTCAACTATTTTCTCATGATGGCAGCCCGTAAAATAAAGTTTGGTTGTACAGCGGTGCACACCCCCACGCCTCCCGCGCTGTTTGAGGTTGAGTTCTTTAATATACGCGGACTCTTATTTGGACGGAATATTTTGTTGATTCTACGCCTTTGAATTACCGATACCATAAATCAGAGAGATATCAGTTTCATACATTTAGTATGGTTAGAGTAAGTACGCTGTCGACAAATCGCGACACACAATATACTTGTGTGCAGCCAGTTCTAAAAATTTATGAAATCAATTGCGTCAGATCGCGTCACAACACAATACAAAACGACAGATAAATGTAGTTCTGCCATAAGATAAATAAAGTTTTGGCAACGTTCCAAATCTACGCTCCAGGTGCAACAAAGGTCTGACATTTATTGCCACATCACACTTAAATGTATAGTTCTAAATATATGAAATCGATCGCATCAGATCGTGTCACAACACAACACCACCTAGTTCCACCTTTACGTGTTGTGTTGTGACGCGATCGGTTTCATACATTTAGTACGCTCAGAACTATACGTGTGGCGCGATGTGTCGAAACCTATCGCGTCAGATTGCGTCATCAACACAACACGGAAGATAAATATAGTTCTGCCTTATAGCTTCCTGATACGTCACAATCACAATCATAAGGGTACAGGTACGGCCAGAGTGCACTCAGATTGAGACTCAGAAAACAAGCGCGAGAAATAAACAATGTAGTTAAAGCAGGATGGCCATAGTGGCAGCAGGCAACCTGCTTAAACTACACTGTATATTTCTCGCGCTTGTTTTCTGAGTTTGAATCTGAATCTGAATCTGAATGCACTCTGGTCGTAAGGTACGGCCTTTGAGGTATCATAGTCGATACCCTAAGGGTACGGCCAGAGTGCACTCAGATTCAGATTCAGACTCAGAAAACAAGCGCGAGAAATAAACAGTGTAATTAAAGCAGGGTGGCCATAGTGGCAGCAGGCAACCTGCTTAGACTACACTGTTTATTTCTCGTTACACAACACGACAGTTATAAGTGTACAACAAAGTGCCATAATGGTGTCGATTCTAGCATGATTCTCTAAACTTTAAACTAAATTTCACATCAGTCTCTCCTTTTCATTCTGTATAGAGAATGACAAGGATACACTGTTGTCAAATTTAAGTTTAGATTTAGAGATCGTGCCAGAATCGACACCAATATTTATCTATAAGGCCGAATGAGTAAATAATACCGGCACTTCATATGGCCATTATTGTTTTCCCTTTTATGAACTTGGCTGGCTTCAATCTATCCTTTTCATTCTATAAAGCTTAACAAGGACAGACGGTTGTCAAATTTTAAATAAAATACGTTCAGCATGTGAAATGCCGGCATAATAATAAGCAAGTTAACACGGAAAGAGTGATTGGTAATTAATTTGTTTTGTTTGTAATTTCATAGCATAGCACATCGCAAGACGTTTTCCGCACAGTTTTTCCGCGACCTTGTCTATGTGTCACAGTCACAGGAAATAAATAATAGTTCACTGCTGACTTGCTGAGCTCGAGCTGTAATCAGTCATTGATATTTAATCACGCGTTCCTAGTTCCTATGAAGAAACCAATTTCCTAAGAATGTCCAATGAGGGAAACCTAGAAGTGGACGTGATGTACGGCCTAAAAACAGTTCTATCTCAAATTGAAGCCGCAGTCGCCAGGAGGAGTAAAGTAAGTTGCAGGAGAAGAATAGTACCTATTGAATATCTTTTTACATAATTGAATAATCAATTCACATGGTTCATTTATTTTTATGATAAAACATAAATTAGCAAATCTTTAGTAAATTAAAACACATTAAGAAGACATTAACGCATAAATAGAAAAAAATGCAGTTGTGTATTCTGAACCATGATAATCTGCCCTCTTATGTCAGTTGTGTACTTTAACTAATTCCAGTTTGCGCCGCGGCGGTAAATGTCTGATCAGTAATTATATTTTAAATTGTTAAGAATAATGGCTATCAAGTATACTTGCAGGATTTACCTCAAGTGTCACCAAGACTAGTGGCTGTATCAAAAATTAAACCGGTTCCCGTAATAGTTGAGGCATATGAAGCGGGACAGAGACATTTTGGTGAAAATTATGTAAACGAACTGGCAGATAAAGCAAGTGACCCAATTATCCTTGCAAAATGCAAAGATATCAAATGGCATTTCATAGGTCATCTACAGACAAATAAAATTAATAAACTCCTTGGATCACCTAATCTCTTTATGGTTGAGACTGTTGATTCTGAAAAGCTTGCAGATAATCTGAATAAACAGTGGTTAAAATTAAGAAAAGAGGAGGAGAAGTTGAAAGTTATGGTGCAAATCAATACCAGTGCTGAGGAAGGTAAGATTTGACAGTTGCCTAGGTAAAACAAGCTTTACCTTGTGAATTTACTAAATCATTTTCCATTTTTTTTTAGTAGTTATTGATTGTATGTTTAAACTTCTTTCACAGCCAAAAATGGAATAGAGCCAGCACAATCAACGAAATTGGTTGAACATGTTTTGAAGAGTTGCCTGAATCTCGAATTCATTGGTCTCATGACTATTGGTCAATATGACTATGATACCTCAAAGGGTCCTAATCCAGACTTCTTGACTCTTGCAAAGTGTCGCCAGGAGGTTTGTGATAATTTAAAACTGGATATCAACAAAGTGGAGTTGTCTATGGGAATGTCCAGTGATTTTGAAAATGCGGTTAGTTAATAAATGGATATAATAGCTTTAATATAATTGATATGATTATTATTTCTGTTTAGCTTATTGATATTTCTATGGTCTTTTGCAGATTGAATTAGGAGCCACAACTGTGAGAGTCGGGTCAAATATATTTGGTGCACGTCCACAAAAAGCTAAAACTAACTAATAAGGGTTTTTAACATAATTCAGATTCAAAAAGAGGGTACCTAATTTAATCATAGCATTAAAATTTGCAGAAAATGGGTTTAAGTTTATAATTACTTTTTAAAGAATGTATATATTGCTTAGATAGATCATGTATATTTTACTTTAATAAAGACTCGATGATTATGTTATTTGTGTTTAAATTATAAAGCATATTTTTTTGTTAACAAAGCTGACAAATATTACTTTCAAAGTCTTTAACCATTGAGAGGTAAACATTCTGTTTAAATATACCTATATCAATTTACACAAAAAATATGAAAATAATTATAGGCTTGCATATCTTTGGCAACCAAGTTTATTGAGGAACTCTAAGAAGTGTTGTTATTAGGGTTCTATACCTCATCGGCAAAAACAGAAATCCCTTATAATCTTGGTGGTTTATCAATCTGTTACAGTCAACTTCCCAGAATCTACTGGACCAAAAAAGTTAAATTTATTACACATGTATGTCTTTGACCTAAACATGGACAAAGTAAATAAATAAATTCCAAAAGAAAGAAAAGAAAATTAAAATGTAGCTACCTGTATCCTGCTGCTCATATATAAAATAAATGTGAAAATTTCAAAATATTTACAAATGTAAAATGAATACTTTAAAATTAATTTATGAAAATAAACCTATTAGAATCTACTGTCAAGATTCTTGAAAAAAAAACAGAATGTAGCTTTGCATGTAATGTAGATTGCAGAAAAGCCTTTAAGTTTATGGTAATAAAATAAATATTAGGCATGCGTCCGATATATCAAAACGAATCCAAAATCCGATTTCAAACACAAATCGATACCGATCGATTTCTCAACAAGAAAATCCGATTTCAGAAATCTAACCGAACCAAAACGCTAGCGATCTAATACCACAAGTATCCAAATGTAAATCGGATTCGAAATTCATGCTTTCGTTTTCAGAAGTCAGATTTCGTGCTCGGAAGTCCGATTTCGATTTGCTGTTTACGGAAATCTATTGCTCTTCTCTGAGGCGGGATTATTTATCACTGAAAAGATATGTCGTCTAAAAACATCAAAAGTCGAGCATCTTACATTTTTGGACGCTAACCTGAAGTAATTAGGTTTGATTTTGTAAATGGTTTGAAAAATAATAAAAACAAACAGAAAAACAAAAAAAAATACTAAAAAAATATGTAACAAGAAATCATTGTATAAAAGCCGATTTTTAAATGCGCCGCAAAAGTTTTACTCTTAACCCTAAACATAACTTTTCTGCTAGTCCTAAGCCTAGATTTAAAGCATGAAGGAAAATCGCGAAAATCTACGAGTATCCTTGCTTCCTACAATTAATTGTTTGTGATTGTCGTTAGCTAATAAAACCAAATCATAACACAAACTAGTGAATTGGCTAAGTTCGGCACATCTGAAATCGGATATCTAAAAACGGATTTTAAAATCGATTTTGAAATCTGAAATCCGATAAATATCCGTTTGCGTTCAAAACCAAAAACGCCCATGTCTAATAAATATTAAAAGGGGGCTACCATACAACAAAATTGGTAGTTTTATAGAGATAAGGACATGGAACCCTGCGCTCACGATACCGATTCGCACTTGACCGGTTTTTATAGATTGACCTCTAGTAGCGGGCCGCTACTATAGTGTGACCAGATTCAGTAAATAAATACTTGTTTAGTAATTTTAACTGCTATTTTGAACATCAGTTTTTTATAGGTATATTGCCGGAAATCAGTACAAGTATTTGAGATATTGTGAAAATTTTCTGTCAACAATCATTTTCGCGAAGTTACATCACGAACAATAGTCTACTATGTGATTTTTCCGGATTTAGCCTACATTGTAAACTAAAAAAATTGTAGAATACCTGTCGCGAAAGATACAAAAAATATATATAGGTATAAGGATGTTAGAAACATCATACCATGGTGGTGGGGTGACAAAAAAATGCGACTTATTGCCTGGATTCTTTGATTTCGAGGATGATTTGGGTTGGTATCGTGTGCTACGACTGTTGTTGTGTTTTCCCACCTGTATTAAATAAAGTGACACGATATCCTAAATATGTATCTGTATAAACATAAACATTATATGTACAGTTGTAGCAGTCATTGATGAGTATTAGGAGTCAAAGAGATATTACAAAGTCCAGTAATGAAGTCTGTCATCCGCCGCCAACACGACGATGAAGATATTCGGACGTCTATATATCTCTTATCTATTAGACAAGTCCGTCCGCCCGTCCGTCCGTCTGTGGTGCTGTTTCAGCGGCCAAACCGTAAGAGATAGATAAAGAGAATGTTTCAGTTATAAGTTAAGAATAGTCTGATAAGACTACAAACCGGATTTAGTAACGTAGCACTTCCGGTTTTCGAGAAATCACGAATTTCAAACGAAACCACACAAAATCTCCGAAGTTCTCAATTAATTAAATACATTTTTTTTTGAAGTTATACTTCTTTAGGCGCGTTATGAAAAAATTATGAGAGTGAAATTTTTAGATGCGCGCGCATCATTGTAACCCAAAAGTAACAGCATGAAGTTGGCCGCGAACGCGTTATGAAAAAATCATGTGAGTAAAATTTCGAGATGCGCGCGCATCACTGTAACACAATAGTAACACCATGAAGTTGGCGGGCGCGTTATGAATGTTAGTGTCTAATAATGGTGGATTATTAACCACTTAGTGGTTAATAATCCACCATTATTAGACATCTGTTCGAAAGGTACTTTGAACGATCCACGGAGCTCCATAAGATGATCGCGTTGTCAAAAACAATGTTGGCACGCTCGTCGCCTCTGATCACTGTTTTCATATTTATAATATTTATCCACATGTTTCTAGTTTCTATATAGACACAACGTGTTTTAGTTACTTACAAGTGCTAAATACATATGGACCAATAACTTAAATTCAGTAGTGATTTTAATTGAATATTTTGAATATTTATTTAATTTTTCAAATTAAAACTGAACTTAATTGACTGTGTTAACTATCCTTTTCCAGTCCTTTTATTATTTTATTGTAATTATTAATTATTTGCATGCAATTAAAAAATATTTTTAATGATGCTAAAGAAGTATAACTTCTCACGCGCGTACATAAGTTACACGCATCCATTTTTTTAAATCAGGTTTTGGTGAACATTTGGTTCACTGGTTTGCTAGTATTCATATAACACACAGTTGCGTAGCAGCAGCGCAAGTACGGCGATTTCGAAGTATGGCGCGAGGGCTCCGGATGCTGCTATTGTGGGCAAATTTAATTTTAATATATAATTTTATCATTGCAGGCAGTTCGCGCCATACTTCGAAACGAACTTGCCTCTAGTAATTTTTAGACCATAGACGAGCAGAGCATAAATCATAGACCAGACAATATTTTATCTTTTTAATAGAGCTTAGTAAGCTAATAAAACAGTCTAGTTACATTGAATGAATTGACATTAAGTCAACAAACCTTTAAAGTCTCGCAGCTTCCGCGACAATATCGAAGTTAATATACCTACTACCTAAATCTGTTATAATGATTTCTATATTGAAATTAAACTATTTATTAGGATAATGCAATGGAGGATATGTTCAAGACGCTGAACTGGAAAGGACGTGGCGTCTACATAAATAGCTAACGCATCTCTCACTTGCGATTTCGTCTGCAAATCGTCATCATGGCAGAAACCCTGCAGGACCTACAAAAAAATGCTGAATGACCTGGCTGACGCTTCTATAAGAATAGAATAATTAAGCTAGTTTGGGCAGCCTTTGGGAAGCTACGTCAAGTCCTGACATAGTCGATCCCACAGTGCCTAAAGACGAAAGTCTTCAATCAGTGCGTCCTAACTGTGATGACATACGGAGCCGAGATGTGGACTCTGACGGTACGGCTAGTCCGCAGGTTCAAAGTCGCTCGGCGCGCTATGGAAAGGGCTATGCCCGGCGTTTCTCTGAAGGATAGTATCGGAAATGAGGTAATCCTACAGAGAACCAGAGTTAGTGACATAGCCCACCGGATTAGCAAGTTGAAGTGGCCATATTTGCCGAAGAACCGATAACCGTTGGGGTAGACGAGTTCTGGAGTGGAGACCGCGTCTAGGCAAACGTAGTGTAAGACGTCCTCAGGCACGATGGAGTGATGATTTGCGCAAGGTGGTTGGCAGGAGCTGGAAGCGAGTAGTACAAGATCGATCTGAGTGGCGTGCATTTGGAGAGGCCTATATATTACTAGGCGATATGTACTTTCCTCTCGCTTTCCTGCACATGTCGTTAAATGGGACGGAAGTTTGTAGTAGGAAGTCGCGAAAGCGCGCGCTATTTGATTTGATTTTAGAACATAATGTTCAAAAGGCTTATTCTTTTTGTAGTAGGTTTTATTTCTTTCTTAATAATATAAGGTGAGGTTTCAAATGTTTCACATCATCATCAAAACGACCTTAAATGTTGGTAACAAAAACAATCAGTATTTGTTTAAGGCTCCTTAGCAGTTTTGTATAATATAATCTGGTCTTACTGGAAACGTCGTTTGGTTGGTGGTTGCCACAGAATAACAGATTACTAAGATTATGTCTAACGAAAACATATTTTTGCTATTCTGTGGGTGATTGGGGTTTGGGAATGGCGACTGAGCTTAATGCCGTCACTTGACTTGACTATTCGTGTTGGCTATTAGTAAACAAGACATGAGTCTGTCCTTTTCATTCCATATAAAATATAATAGGTACAGACAAACTGTCGTTAAGTTTACAAATAGCAAATACGAACAGCCAAGTGAAGTGCTGGCATTACTTCGTAGAAAGGTAAAATAGCAACATTACCAACCAAAAGCTACGTCGAATCTCGACACCACGAACGACCGTAACAGAGAGCTCGTATGTTTCCGTTTTGAATGAAAATTAATTTGTAGTAGTTTTATATTTACTTTTTATTTCATTTGCATTTTGAATATTTTATTTAAGTACTTAGTAGTAGTTTATTTGTTTGAAAAAGTTATATTTGTTTAGAAGAAACAAATACGACCATCCCATTTTTTGCGCTACGTACGGTAGCGTACGGTGAACAAGTTTTAAAGTGTGCATCCCATTTCGAAAGTCAGCAAGGTCGAACTGTTATAAATACGTAAGTACTTTTATTTTA